AGAACTGGAAACAAAAATCAAATTACAATTACCAGGTATTCACATAGATACTTTATATACACCTAAACAAATGGGTGGGTTCGGTTTAATGAATCTGAGACATCAATTAAATGGGAGAAGAGCAAAATTTATATACTATCTGTTTCAAGATAGAAATCAATGGCATTCACAATATTTAGTTGAAAAAATCCAATTTTACATTACACAGATAATAGATCATCTACAATTAGTTCCAACAGAAATGATTAGAGAAACGTTTTTTTCACATACAGTTAATGGAATAACAGCTTTTTATCCCAGAACACAAGATGAAAATAAACAAATATCATTCCCTTGGTGGCAAATATTGGATGGAACTTTTACCAAATGGTTAATGAAAAATAAAGATTCTAATAATAGAATTCAAGCACTAAACCTTCCAAACTTAGAGAAAGATGAAGTTCTTGACACCTGGCAATTAATAAGCCATATAATACCTTCAAAAAATGATGAACTGAATTTAGGTAATTTTTTCAATAATATGGAAAAACACTGGATACAATCATGGTTTGAAGTTTTAACGGTTAAAGATAATGAATATGATAAGGTAGATTTCCAGATTATGAATAAACATCAGATATATACCCAGCAAATAAAAAGAATAGATAAAGCCAAAGAGGCTTTACTAAAAAACATGCAGGATGTTGAAGGTGAAAAAATTCAGTTGGAATCATTCAAACATTATAATAAAAAGAAATATAGAGAAAGTGGAAACTTTATAATGAGACCATCTCTACAAATAATAGTAGACAATACAAATAGAAATATCAAAAGTAACTGGAAAAATATGTGGATAAAATTATATATGAATCAAAAGAAAAATCCTGGAATACTCGAATGGCTACATAGATTTATATTGGGGCATCTAACGGTTAGACGCTGTGTTAGATTAAAACCACAATACCCCAATAGACTGGATCCAAAATGTTGTTTATGTTTGAAAGAAGAAGAAGATACTACACACATTTATACCAAATGTGAAGTATCAAAAGAGATATGGAAACTAATCTCAGAGTCACAAACTGAATTACCATCCATTGAAGAATTTTATATGCCTATAAGTAACAAACCAGAAGAGTTACTGGACAAATCTAGATTTATAGAATTCATATACCTGATGAGAGGAAAGAGAAGATATTCAACTGAAAAGATTGAAGGAGAGATAACAGGTGAATTTCTGGAACATTATAAAACAAGATTTATGATGAAAAAGAAAAGATTGAGAAAATACTATTGAATCTAAAAAATGACAATATAAATTAAGGAATACTCATGAATTGAAATATAATACAAATTAAATTGGAATAATAATAAATTGGAATATATATAAAAATTATAAGACGTTAAGGAATAATAATTAGAAATATTACACTATTAAAAAAACAAAAAAAAATAGAAAACCTATAACAAAAAACAAAAACAAATTATAAATAAATACACTTATACACTATACATTAGAGAAAACTATGAATAGAAAATTGGAATATTTAAGCTGGAATTATCACATCATTAATAAACAAAAAAAAAAAAAAAAAAAGGGATATCAATTAAAATTGCTGATCAACTATGGAATAATATTAATCAAGAAATAATAGAATTATAAGCTATATTATTCAATGATCCACAATATTATTTAAAATTATAACATGGAAAAATTAATAAGCATTAAATTATAGAATAGAAACCATGATACAACTTATTAAAAACGCATGGTGGAAAATTATGATCATTTGATAAAAAATCAAATTAAAAAATTAAAAAGAGAATTAATCTTCTCAGGTACAACAATGCATATATATAACTAGTGGATCTAGATATAGCATTTAACAAGAGTGGTGAATCGAAAAAGTATATATTATTAAAAAGGGTTTCCTATTATAGGGTGAAAGTTGCATGAGAATAGTATCACATTTCACGAGGGAACATACTACAGAGTGTATATACCGATTTATCAATAGACATTTTCATAAACTAAAAAAAACTAAACAATTTTTCGTGGCCCGGCTGAAATTTAACGAGATTTTTTTAAATGCTCGTAGAATCTCATCGTGTAAACAGTGCTAAATTACAGAAGATACAAACACACAGAGATCTCCACGCTTTTGAAGTGGATTAAGTGGATTCAAATACCAGTGGAATATTACCTTTTTCAAGGTATTATATTTACAAGAAAGTGATTGATAATATATCTCATTCTCTCTTTAATTTTTGCCGCCGTTTCCCAAGATCAACGGGCCTTAAACATCCATACAGGTAGACACTAACGGCTATTTACCAACATCATTTATCCAAACACATCATTAACTCACATCATTTCAATATTCTTTAATCAAATTTGCATACTAGCATGTCCATAAAAATGGAACATGGCTCTTCTTCGGAAAGTCAGGATCTTATTTCCAATGATCAACTTCAAAACTTGTCAAATGATGGAGAAGGGTCCATATCAGATTCATCAAATAAACAACGTAAAAGAAAAAAAAGGCAAACAGGTGTATTTAATTGTGATTTTGAAGGTTGTGATAAAGTCTTTTCACGTGCTGAGCATTTAGCAAGACATAAATTAAATCATAATCCAACAGTTATTTATCATTGTCCTTGGGATAATTGTGAAAAATCATTCGTACGGAAAGATCTATTAGAAAGACATTCTAAAAGACATGAAGTACGCAAAGCCAAAGAAGAAGCAAAGGCAAGAGAAAGAGCAAACAACACAGATAATAAAAGAAAAAGAAGAAAAAGAACCACCGATGATGATGGCGTTACAGCAATGAAAAATGAAAACGAAAGTTCATTACCAAAAATACCCATCAACTCATTAGATTCAATCATATTACCAAATGTTGTTGACGAATCAAGAGTTGATATACATGATTATGGAAATGAGTCTCATCTAAGTGCAGCAAATCCAGAACTGAATGCTTTACAGGATGGTCCGATAACAACGACAGACGCAACTACTTTATTAACAGAAAGAAATCATCAAATGCATCGTCATCACTCCCATAATCCACATTCTCATATATCACCGACTTTAACTATGTCTCCACAATCTATGAGATCACTAAGTGCTGGTGCAGTTCCTTCTTCAGATCATTTAAATCCACCTGCAAGTCCTTCAAATTTAATTAATTGGTTATTTGATGATAATAATCCAGCAAAAATTGGTAATTTAGAGACTTTACCGAATTTCAGTGGTGATAATTTTTTCAATCCAAATGATGATCCTTTTGGATTATCATCAAATTTATTAGATGACATTTTACAAATTCCACCAAACTTCCCAAATCCGGCTCAGCAAACGTCAATTACACCAGAAATAAGACAGGTTTTAATAAATTTAGTACCAAGAATTGCCTATCATGATTATTTGCAATATTTAGAAAAATTTATGGATCTTTATTGGACTTGTTTCCATATTCAATATCCAATTATTCATAGACCATCATTTAACACAGCAACTTGCCCACCAATTTTATTGTTGAGTATGATTATGACAGGTGCAAGTTATGCAACGGCTGAACCAAGCTCAACTTTCACAAGAGATCCAAGAGAATTTGCAGATTTAATAGCTGAACCTTTAAGATTAATCATTTTCAGTTCTGATGAGTTTCATCCGCCTTCAGAAATCCATATAATTCAAAGTTTGTTATTATTAGAATGTTATGAAAGATTCGCAAGTAATAGAAAATTACATGAACGTGCATTTTTACATCATGGTACTACTATTCAATTATTAAGAAGATCACCAGGTATGGGTGGTAATCCATTAAAGAATAAAACTGATTATCATAGAAATAAAAATGCCACCATTTGGGAAAAATGGATTGAGTTTGAAAGTGTTAAGAGATCAACATTGTTTGCATTTTATATTGACTCAACACACTCAATTGTCTTCGGTTATCAGTTGATGCTTTTTTCGAATCATGTTCAATTAGATTTACCATGTGATGATGAATTATGGGAAAGTTATTTAACACCAACAGAAATTCCAAATCGTAATGATTCATTACCTTTCCTTGTTGGGTTGAAAAAGGTTCTGAATAGAGAACCTGTTAAAACTAGTAAATTTGGTAAAAAAATATTAATGTCAGGTTTATTAACTGTTATGTCACAAATGCAACAAAGAGATTTACAAGGTTCAATATTGGAAACTGAACAGTTAAGAGATTCATGGAAGGAAACTTTAAGTTTAGCTTTTGATTATTGGAATTGTGATATAATGGAAGGTTGTTGTAATACTGAAAGTGCATACTTATTGAAAGATCAATCATTGAAAAGTATTCGTCCATATTCATTAACTACAGATGATACTAAATGTAAAATTCCAGTTTATCATATGGCACAAATTACATTAAGAGTTCAACATTATGATTATTTTGTTTATGCAGGTGCACCATGGAGAATGAATGTTTATGCTGAACCATCAGATTATGAATTAGTTGAGAAAAAAATACGTGAATGGGCAAATTCATCTGCTGGTAAAATTTCAGTAATTTATGGTTATTTATTTTTATTTGAAATGTTTTTAACTCCACAAGATGTACCAATACAATCAAATTTGGAATATTCACCAGAAACAGATGCTATTTTGAATAGATTAAATGTTTTAGCATTGGTCACATTATTGATTTGGTCTTATAACTATAATTTGGATGGACCAGAATCCAAGTTGTTAGAGGAAGATCCAGAAGGTAAATGGCCAGAGTATTCGTCTGAGAATGGATATGACCATTTAAGAAGAATTAGAGATCAATTGACAAAACTAACAGGCAAGAAAGTTCATACCATTGCACATCAAGATAGTGTACATTTCCATAATGCCATGTTACAACAAGCTTCTAAATTAGATTTGGTTCCAAAGAAACATCACATGACTGGATTATTAGGAATGATTTCACAAAGTTTCAGTAAATGTTACTGGGAAGTTGGAGTTGAGTTTTCTAGATTGATTTCAAACTGTCGTCGGAGAAGTTTTGGCAGTCCAAAAGTTCGTTGTGATAATATGTATTCTACACAGTTATGATTTGTACGAGTCTTGTAAATATATGACAGCTCAAAGAGCTATGAAGTTGATGAAATATATATGTATAATTTACTCAGTGTAGAATACTTTTACTTGGTCAATTTCATTGCTAACCCATGAAACTTTTTTAATAGTGGGCGTACTGACTTTCCTAATGTAGAAGCTCCAGCAGGTGTCTTTCAAAATGCTCGAACCAACTTTCCAAATTTAGTACTTCAAAGAACAGAAGTCAAGACCACAATAAGTATGGCGTCGCTACTAACGTAATTAAAGTATATGATCCCTTTAACAGTATACATGATTACTACTAGTACCAGGCTAATTAATCACCCCTCTTTTAAATGATTTCGATGTTCCAAGTGTCAGCTACTTATTTTGAGCTTTTACATATATAAGCAATTTACAACATCGTATTTGAAAAATTAGATTAATGGATTCATTCGATCACAAATTACAAGTAGCTTGGAAGAATTTCGTCTTGACTCAAGCTAGTGACTCAAGACATATCGCAATTTTTTCCCTTAATGAACCTTAAAACTTTAGTGTGCTCGTAAAATATTAATTTTTCAAAATATGGCTGAATGCATTTATAATAAACACATCAGTGTATTAAATGCTCGTTTAACAGGTCTTCCACAATGTTTTGTCAAGTTATAATAATACCTTTTAAAGAAGGTTCTGCCTTACACAGAATTTGTACGTGAAATGATTCAGATTAATGTCGGTAGTATATAAATACTTGTCTGTGCTCTCATTTGTTGAATGTTGTTAAATCTATAATTGAATCATTAACCGCTGTGGAAGTATAAATCATAATGAATTTAGATGCTGTTCATAGTTCACATCATAATGATCTATTTGTTCCTGAAAATGAAAGAGTTGATTTAAGTGTTAGGAATTTGAAGGTTGTTTTCAAAAAGAAAGATAAGAAAGATTGGAAACAAAAGTTGCCAGGAAAGAATAATGATGAAGAGAAACAAGGTACCGCTGTTGAAACTGGTGCTCCAGCTAAAATAATTTTGAATGATATCAGCTTAGATTTACCTAAAGGTCAACTTTTGGCTATCTTGGGTGCTTCAGGTAGTGGTAAAACAACATTATTGAATACTCTTTCATCAAGAATGAGTTTTGCCAAAAATTCAAGTAACCCTTTCCAATTTGAAGGTTTGGTTCAATATTCACAAAGAAATCCAAATGTTTCATATTTATTGCAAGAAGATTTGTTCATGCCTGGTTTATCAGTTAGAGAAACTTTGAAATTTACAGCTCAACTCAAACTTCCAAATTCATCAAATCAAGAGATTGATAGCTTGATTGATTATTTATTTGAAGCTTTGGATTTGAAAAAAATTGAAAACACAATGATTAACGATTTTAAGTATAAATGTACATTGAGTGGTGGTGAACAGAGAAGAGTGTCATTAGCTATCCAATTGTTGACAAAACCTTCAGTGTTATTCTTAGATGAACCAACAACAGGTCTTGATGCGAACACGTCAATCCATTTGGTCCAAACTGTTAAAGATTTAGCTGCTAACTTTGGTATCACTGTTATCATGACCATTCATCAACCAAGATCTGAAATCTTGGAAATTGTTGATCAATTATGTTTATTAGCAAAAGGTGGTTCAATGTTATTTATGGGTTCATTAAATGAAAGTCAATCATATTTTGAACAAACTAATTATATTACTAGACAAATTAAAGTTGAAGATGATGCCAATTTTGCTGATTTTTTATTGAAAGTTTCTGCAATTGATCAAACAGTGTCTAAAGAAGTTGAAATGGAAGCCAGAGAACGGGTTAACAAACTTGTTTCCCATTGGAGATCTCATCAATCATTGAAATCGAACATTGAATATTCAAACACATTTGAATCTGGTCAACCAATTTTCAACCAAAATAAAACAAACAAACCATCTTTCATTAAAGAAGTTAGAATTTTGATGCATAGATGCTATGTGTTAACTATTAGGGATGGTCAAAGTATGATAACATTACATGGTATCATGATTATGCTTTCAATCATATTGGGTTATGCATTTTATAAACCAGGTGGTGATTTAGGTGGTATCCGCTCTATTACCTCTTCCCTTTATATTTGTTGTGAAGTTTTAGGATTTACACCATTGATTTATGAAATTGAAAGGTTAGCTGCAACTGATGGTAGATTTTTAGTTAGAGATAGCAAAGAAGGTGTCCATTCTATTACAGGGTTTCTTTTGGCTCGTAAATTGGTCAAATTAGTTTTGGAGGATATACCAATTGCTATTGTGTGGTCGCTTATTACATACTTTATGTGGGGATTGAATGAAACAAGTAATTTTGGTATATTTTTCATCAATAATTTATTAATTCTCGGTGTTGGTATGGGTACTGCTCTACTCTGTTTCATGTTGGGTAAATATCAATTTGGTGCTGCTAATTTGATTGTTAATTATTTTTATCAATTACAAAACTCTGCATGTGGTTATTTCGTTAATGCAAAAACCATGCCTGTGTATGTTAGATGGACAAAATATTTAGCTAATTTCTGGTATGCTTTTGGCTCATTAGTTTCCAATAGTTTTTCAGACTATACAGGTGATTGTCCTTACGAACCTGGTAGCAGTGAATGTTATGAATATACTGGTGAATATGTCTTGAAGAACTTAGGTTATCCAAAAAGCTGGTATGCTACACCTATTGTTGTTAATATTGCGTGGATGTTATTTTTCAATATTGCAAGTGGTACTTTACTTTGGTTTCAATCAAGACGCAAGACTGTTCGTACAGTTAAACCAATTCTGCCAAAGACTAAATCACTGTTCAATAGTGGTGTTCAATCAAACAAAGAAATTTTAACTAAAGTTTATTCATCCAAATTCATTGGTGAAATTTTTGTTAACTTGAAAGATATCAGATTGACTTTGAAACCATCATTTATGAAGAATACTGTTTTGCGTAAACCGTATGATGCTAAACAACTTCTCAAAGGTGTTACTTGTACATTTAAACCAGGTGTTAATGCAATTATGGGTCCTTCAGGTTCAGGTAAAACAACATTGTTGAACTTTGTTACTGGTCGTACACAAAAAAGTACAATTTCAGCTAAAGGTGATGTACTTTTGAACCAAGATGAAATACCATTTGATTTGTTGAAAAAAATCACAACTTATGTGGTTCAAAATGATAATGTTTTAATTCCAACTTTAACAGTTAGAGAAACCCTATATTATCAAGCTAGATTAAGATTAGATGTTTCAAGATATCCTTATATCCCTGTGATTGTTACTGATTTAATCAGAAAAATTGGTCTTACTGATGTTGCTGATATACCAATTGGTGATGCTCATACTAAAGGTATCTCGGGTGGTGAAAAGAGAAGGGTTTCAATTGCAATTCAATTATTGAATGATTCAAAGATTTTATTGCTGGATGAACCAACTTCAGGTTTAGATTCATTTACATCAAGTTCTATTATTGCATTATTGAACGAGTTAGCTATTACAGAGGGTAAAACAATTATCTTAACAATTCATCAGCCAAAATTTGAAATTTTCCAAAAATTCGATAATGTTTTGTTATTAGCAAATGGTTCAGTTATTTACGATGGTGCTCCACTAGATATGATTGAATACTTTGACTCCATGGGTCTTAGACCAGAACCTGAAATGAATTTTGCAGACTATATGTTAGATGTTATTTCAAATAGAAGTGAAAATGGACCAGAAACTGCTGCTAAGATGATTGCAAACTGGACTAAAGTTGATAAAGGTGAATTCACTGAAGATACTATTCCAGTATCTGAAGATAAAGCTAACAAAGAATATGATCTTGATCAATACAAAACATTAATTAAAAAACCACATATTCTAAAAGTTGCATTCCAACCAATTTTAGAGAGACAATTCAAGGTAATTTTAAGAAGCCCTAATGTTTTCTTTTGTCGTTTTGGTCAAATCGCTGGATTATCAGTCATTCATGCCTTATATTTTTCACCAATGAGAAATGACTCTGAATCTGTTTTAAATAGATTAGGATTGATCCAACAAGTGACTGTCTTATACTTTGTTGGTATGTTGAGTAATGTTACAGTTTTCCCAATTGAAAAATCAACATTTTATCAAGAATATGAGGATAATACCTATAACCCATTAACATTTATGATTTGCTATTTGATCAATGAACTTCCATTCGAATTAATAACTTCATTCATTTTTGCAATTTTCACAGTTCTAGTTGTTGGATTACCAAGAAATGGAGGTATGTTTTTCACAATGTTTTATATGTGCTTTGGTATTTTAAACAGTGGTGAAAGTTTTGGTATGATGTTTACTTCTCTTTTTGATCATTTGGGTATCGCTGTCAATTTTGTTGCAAATTTACAAGTTGCTGGTGTTTTCTTAGCTGGTACCATGTCTATTAATGTTCCAGTATTATATAAAGCATTCAATTATATCAGTCCATTGAAGTATGTTGTTTTGGCATTGGCAGATTTAGTTTTTACAGGTCAGAAATTTGATTGTCCAGAAGGGATTGATACATGTTCTTTACAAACAGGTGAACAAGTTCTAGATCAATATAAATTCAATAGTAAATTATTTACCAATTACGTTGCACTTGCAGCTATTTTAATCTTATATAGATTGGTTGCTTATGGAATCTTTGAATTCAAGGTTAGAGTTTTAAGAAAATGAGTATTTGTTAGGTTTGCATTGAAATATGTTGTTTTAGCTATAGCAGATTTAAGTTTTGGAGGTCAAACATTTAAATGTTCAGATGGATCAAATTCATGTTCGCTAAGAGCTGGTTAAGACGTTATGAATCAATATAAATTTGATAGTAAACTTCATGTTAATTTTATTGTTGTTGCAGTGATTTTGGTTTTATATCGTTTAGTTGCGTATGGGATCTTTGAACTTAAGGTTAGAGTTTTAAGAATATGAATTATGGTTATAAAATTTAGTTCTAACATGACATGCAACTTATAGATCAAGTATAGTCGACCGGCCATATGAATCTTAATGTTCAATTTGATAGAGTGGATTGTATATAGAGATAATATATTGTGAATAATGAGATCATGTGTTCAATTAATTAGGTCTAGATCGGAACTTTAGATATATCATATGCGTTAATTTCCAACGTTTATATATCAATATGTAGGTTTCAGTTCACTAGCAGTATATAGCAATCGATCGACATCTTACGAAATGCGGAACCAAAGCATCAACAATATTGTACCTGGTCTTCGGTGATCTATTGGCGATGATTAATATGATGCTGTTAGCTATCAGAATTTGATATTTCTCAGATAATTCACCATGCATTCACCTTTGTTTGAAGTCTAGATCAAGTACGTACTTAATTTTCATAGTAGAGCTAGGTACCCGAATCTATGATCAACTGCAGGTCAAATTCCATTTAGCACAGGATGCACTTTAAACAAGAGCTAAATGCACTGGAATATGGAACTGAATATGTCTGTTATTTCATCTATAGATAGCACATTGTTCTAGTTCTTTACCTAATTTATTGAATCTCGTTTGACCTTATATTAATGAACTCTTTTGGAAATTGGAACCTCGTTTCTTCACTAGCTACAAAAAAACTTTAGCCTCTAGCCTCTAGCCTCTAGACAGAGAACCGATAGGATCCATTTCCCGTTTTAAGCAGAGAATTCGCGGTTTTTAGCGACAGAGTAGCGGTGATTCCGTTTAGAATGAGTGGTAGGGACAGTGCGCCTTGCTTAAAATCATTGCAGTTGTACGCTGAACGAGGGATTCGGGAAGTGGAACGACGCAAAGGTTGTTAAAAGATCGTTAGAGTATTGAACTCTTGTGGGAATTTTAAAGTGTTTAGTAATGAATTTGATGCTTTACCGATGATTTGTATATAAAGGTTGTGAATTCTTGTTTTGCGGTTTGGAATTGTGATTTAATATACTTAGTTGAAGAAATTGATTGAAAAATTTATTAGTGTTGATCAACGGTAGATTTTCAGATCTAGATTGGAATATATTGAGATTTTACTCAAATATGAACACAGAGGCCATCAACAGTTTGCATCACAACGACCTGTTTGTTCCAGAAGATGAGAGGGTGGGACTCAGTGTCAGAGCGCTTAATGTCACATTGAATAAGAGGAGACCACAGAACTCTAAAGTTTCGAGGCTCAAGTTTTGGAATATAGGATCTAAATCAAATGAGAATGAGAAAGCTCAAGAAGCACAACAAGATATTATAAATGGTGATGATGCTGAGGTTCAACAGAGCGGTAAAAGAATCTTGAATAATATTAATTTGGATTTGCAAAAGGGCAAAGTGCTGGCTATCTTGGGCTCATCAGGTAGTGGTAAAACAACACTATTAAATACATTGGCTTCTAGAATGAGTTTTGCTAAAAATTCAAGTAACCCTTTCCATTTTGAAGGTATGGTTCAATATTCACAAAAAAATCCAAATATATCTTATTTATTACAAGAAGATTTATTCATGCCTGGATTGACAGTAAGAGAAACTTTGAAATTCACAGCTCAACTAAAACTTCCAAACTCCTCAAATCAAGAAATTAACAACTTGATAAACTATCTTTTTGATAGTCTTGACCTTAAGAAAATTGAAAATACAATTATAAACAATTTCAATTATATTTCAACTTTAAGTGGTGGTGAAAAAAGAAGAGTTTCATTAGCTATTCAACTATTGACAAAACCATCGGTCTTATTCTTGGATGAGCCAACAACAGGTCTTGATTCAAATACTTCTATTCATTTGGTTCAAACAGTCAAAGATCTTGCAGCTAATTTTGGTATCACTATAATATTAACCATTCATCAACCAAGATCTGAAATCTTGGATATTGTGGATGAAATATGTTTATTAGCCCGTGGTGGTTCAATGTTATATACAGGATCTCTAGATGAAGGTCAAAGATATTTTGAATCATTAAATTTACAAAATGATGATGGATTAAAATCTGAAGAATCTAATTTTGCGGATTTTTTATTAAGTATTTCATCAATTGATAAAACAATGTCACATGAAGTTGAAATGAAAACTCAAGCTAGAGTTACAAAATTAATTGAACAATGGAAACAATCTCAAATCTTGGATTCAAATATATCATATGAAAATTCGTTTGAATCCGGTACACCAATTTTTGATCAATCTAAAACTCATAAACTGCCATTATATCGTGAAATTTGGACTTTAGGTAAAAGAAGTGCACTACTTACTTTTAGAGATCTACGAAGTATGATTGCCTTCCAAGGGCTTATGACAATTTTAGCTATTGTTTGTGGCTGGGTCTTCTACAAACCAGGTGGTGATTTAGCAGGTATTCGTTCTGTAACTTCAACATTATATGTTTGTTGTGAAGTTTTAGGGTTCACTCCATTACTTTATGAAATTGAAAGATTATGTGCTACTGATGGTAAATTTTTCGTTAGAGATTATAAAGAAGGCATTCATTCTATTACTGGATTTTTAATCGCAAGAAAGATTGTTAAATTAATTCTAGAAGATATTCCAATTACTTTAACTTGGTCTGTTATAACTTTTTTCATGTGGGGGTTGAATGGATCTAGTAATTTTGGTATTTATTTTGTCAATAATTTTTTAATTTATTTAGTTGGTATGGCTACTGCAATCATTTGTTTCATGTTGGGGAATTATGAATTTGGGCCAGCTTCATTAATTACAAATTATTTTTATCAATTACAAAATTCTGCTTGTGGTTATTTTGTTAATTCTAAAACTATGCCAGTCTACGTTAAATGGACAAAATATTTGGCTAATTTTTGGTATGCTTTTGGTAGTATGGTTTCTGATCAATTCACTGATTATGTTGGTGATTGTCCATATGAAGAAGGAAGTGAAGCTTGTTATGAATACACCGGGGAATATGTTCTTGATAATCTAGGATTCCCAAGACATTGGTATGCAACTCCATTAGTGGTTAATATGTGTTGGTTTTTAGGGTTTTATATTGCTAGTGGGATTATATTATGGTATCAAACTAGAAGAAAAGTTGTTAAAGTTGTCAAACCTATTAATTCCAAGATTGATCATTTACCAACTATTGATGAAGAACAATTTGCCAAAGCTAAATCCAATTTTAAACAAAATCAATATGATGGTGAAATTATTATAACTTTGAAAGAGATTACCTTAAGTTTAAAGAAATTATTCTGGAAAAATATGATTTTCAGGAAACATTTTGAAGGTAAACAATTATTGAAAAATGTTGAATCAAGTTTTAAACCAGGTGTTAATGCAATTATGGGTCCTTCAGGTTCTGGTAAGACAACATTGTTAAATTTTTTAACTGGTAGAACAAGATATAGTACTATTAATGCCAGTGGCGATGTGATGTTGAACGATAAAAGAATACCATTTAGTATGTTAAAATCAATTACTACGTATGTTGTTCAAGATGATAGTGTTTTAATTCCAACTTTAACAGTTCGTGAAACTCTTTGGTATCAAGCTAAATTAAGATTAGATAAGTCTCAACATCAAAATATTCCACATGTTATTAATGATCTTATAAGAAAAATGGGGTTGAGTGATGTTGCAAATATTCCAATTGGTGATTCACAAGTTAAAGGTATTTCAGGTGGTGAAAAAAGAAGAGTTTCAATTGCAATTCAATTATTAAATAATTCAAAGATCTTATTGTTGGATGAACCAACCTCAGGTTTAGATTCATTTACATCGAGTTCTATTATTTCATTATTAAATGAATTAGCTATAAGTGAAAAAAAGACAATAATTTTAACAATTCATCAACCAAAATATGAAATTTTCGAACAATTTGATAATATTTTACTATTATCTAATGGATCAGTTATATATGATGGTACACCAAATGGATTAATTGATCATTTTGCTCAAATGGGGTTCAAACCTGATTATAAAATGAATTTTGCAGATTATATTTTGGATGTAATTTCTAATAGAGGATTTGGTGGTGAAGATGTTTCACAAAAAATGATTAATGGATGGAAATCACGTTCAAATGCAAATATTATAAGTACAAATTCTATCCCATTATCTGTTAATTCTGAAAAATCACATGATAATCTTGATGAATTTAAACAATTGATTAAAACACCAAATAGTTTTAAAGATTCATTTGGACCTGTCTTGGAAAGACAATTTAAAGTATTAATGAGATCTCCAGATGTTCTTTGGTGTAGATTAGCTCAATTGATTGGATTAGGTGTTATTCATGCATTATATTTTTCACCATTGAAAAATAATTCAGAATCAATTATGAATAGATTGGGTTTAATTCAAGAAGTTTTAAATTTATATTTCATTGGGTTAATTAATTGTATTACTGCATTCCCAATTCAAAAAGAGACATTTTATCAAGAGTTTGAAGATAATACATATAGTCCATTAACATTTATGCTTTGTTATTTAATTAATGAAATACCATTTGAGATTGTTGGATCATTTATTTTCACAATTTTCATTGTATTAGTTATTGGATTACCAAGAACTGGTGGAATGTTTTTCTCAATGTTTTATATGTGTGTTTTAACAATTAATACTGGTGAAAGTGTTGGTATGATGTTTACTACAATTTTTGATCATTTAGGATTAGCTGTTAATTTTGTTTCTAATTTATTAGTTATTGGGATTTTCATGGGTGGTACAATGTCAATTAATATGCCAATTTTATTTAAAGCATTTAATTATATTAATCCATTAAAATATGCAGTTTTGGGGACTGCTAAATTAGGATTACAAGGACAAAAATTTACATGTTCAGAAGGATCAGAAGGTAGTTCATCATGTTCATTAAGTACAGGAGAACAAGTTATGAAACAATATAAATTGGATAGTAAATTATTTACTAATTTCATTGCTATTGCAGTTATTGTTGTTGTATATAGATTAGTCGCTCATTTGATTTTGGAGGTAAAGGTTAGATATTTAAGGAAATAGGGATAATTCGAGATATGGACGTCTCGTCACATTCATTTAATAAGTGTATATAATATAATGATATAGTTTATGATGATTGATCATTAATCAGTAGATATAGATGGAATCGATAAGCTGGATGTAGCTGTATATATCATAAAACATTTCTCAACTGAGCCAAATACTCGATTTAGAAGACAATGTTCCTTGAAATAGTTAAGTTTCCCGATCTTGATGTCTTTAAAGTTGGAGAAACAGCTCAAGCATACAATAGATATCGTATGAAATCGGTTGAAATTTTGAAATCTTGTACACAGTACAGCAAAAATGAATTTCCTTATAGTACAATCTTGGTACAAAAGTTGGAGAAATTAATGGAGAACCGAGGGCGTGAACTAATTTTAAAGTAGTCGGAACTCCATATTAATAAACTTGAGCGGCTAATTTCTACTAAAAGTCGAAATGTAAATAAAGTTCATTGATATAAAAGCAAACTCGAATCCTGAAATAGAGATACAAGTTTTACAATTAGCCGCTCACTTGATTATAAGATACTATTAATTAGAAACTTGTTCAAATCACCAAATACGTTGGTGAGAAGAGTTCAAACATCAACTTCAATCTTACCAAAACATCTGCTGTTATTGGCTGTCTGTACGATTTCTGTGTCAACAGGTGCCGAAGTTCTCATACAGAGTATTCACTTACAAGTTACACGTCGGGCTCCTGCTTCACGCTTAAATTTGGTTCAAAGGAAAAAACCAAAATCATCAGAGTGAAAAAAACATTCAGTATTGAATTTAGTCACAAGATATAAAAGCATATCATCAAGTTCAAAACAATCAGTACGATCATCAACATCCAATTGAAGAATTGTTACGCGCTGATTTATTTAATTGAATTGTGTTGTTTTTGGTGCTCGGATTAGAGAAAAAAAAATTAGATTCCGGTTCTCCTTCTTCCGACTTGTTTTCGTTAAAAAAACTGGGGAAAAATCAAAAAGTTCAAAAAGAAATTTAACAACACTTCAAACATTTTCACTAAACAATATTCATCACAGTATAGTATATACACCTTGAAAATTATCATACTGGTCTGAAATCTCCATATTTATTTATTTATAACACATCCAAAATCATAAAACTTGCATCTTTTCTCTCAGACGTGAATTTAAGGGAAAAAGATCACAAACTGTCATTTATTTTTCTCATTCAATTACTTCCATATAACTTTCAAGATTGATAATTTTTGCTATAATTGATCATATATTAAGCTAAAAGCTATACAACTTTATCAAAGATATTTCTGATGTATCTATAGCTCTCAAAAGCATTTACAAAACCAAAAGATTACTCAAAATACTGTTCAACTATCATTTTAAGACTATAGAATACTGTTTTTTTTTTTTTTGTGTTCAAATTTAGCTTTTCATCATATCATCATAAATCATAATATAATACAATTAGTACTATAGATCAAACAATATATCAATACTACTAAAAACAAAATTGCCAAGGTGCTACGTTACAACATCATTATTCCCATATAACTTATTTATTATTTATACATTGCATTTAAAAAATGGAACTTCCGAATTCAATTTCAGAATCAAAAAAACAACAAATTGATATTTTTAGGAAGTATGCAAAATTTGATGAAGAATCAAAACAATTAATTCTTGATTATGATTCTTTCATTAAATTAATTTCAGCTTCCACCAAATTATATAATAAATTTACAGATCATAAATATAATTATCATCAAATCCCAAATCAAACGTTTGGTGTGATATTTTTAGCCTTGGATGAAAAAAATAAAGGTTTTCTTTCATTAAGTGATTGGTTCCATTTTAACAATTTGTTATCAAATAGAAATTATAATTATATTATTCTCTATGAATTTTTCAGAAAATTTGATTCAAATTCAACTAAAAAATCAATTAATTATAATCATAAATTTTTAAGTTTTGATGAACTTTTATTAAATTTTAATGATTTTAAATCAACAATTCAAAAAGCTCAAGAATTTGCAAATAATGAATTTTTAATTACAAATGATTTAAATATTGATTGGAATAAATTAAGCTGGTTGAATGATTACACTTCATCTCCATGGAAAGCTAATAAAGATATATTGAATATTGATTCAAAAGATGAAGAATTATTTATTAACCTTAATTCAATCATTACAATTTTACAAAGTGATTTAACTAATGAAAAATTATCAAATTTCTTTGGTAAATTATCAATTTGGAATTCTTTGAACAATAGCCGTGAAATATCTAGAAATCAATTGGTCTACATTTTGGAAACATTATACAGTCATAAAATTTCAAATCAAGTTTTCGATTCATTAAATCTTTCAAATACAAAATTGATCAAGTCAAATAACAATTCAATTAATTATACCGTGGTTAAAGATTTACATTATTTGTTTAATAATTTTGATTTGATTAATCAAATTTTGTTGAAATATTATCAAATATATAGAGTAAACACACCATCACAGAATCTTCCAATCACAAAAGAAGATTTTGTCACATTCATCAACTTTGAATATAATAAGGTTAATAATATTTCTCAATTTTCTCCTGCTCAAATTAACTTATTGTTTTCAATTGTTTCTAATCATAAGACAAATTTGATTGATTATCAAAAAAGAAACATGTTGTATGAAATTACTCAATCTACAGAGAAACTAATTGATGAAGAAGATGACCCAGATAGATTAAAACAATTCAAAGCCAATTATGACCACGTTACAAATGAAATCAACAATGCTGATTATTTAGATTCAGGTGGACCACCTTCACATTTGACAATTACTGATTTTTTACAAATTACCAATCCAAATTATTTGAATGATATCGTTCATGAAAATGAAGTTTCAAAACCAAAAATTAATTCAAACTACTATTTTTATCCTGTTTTTGATTCTATCTATAATTTTACATTGGGTTCAATTGCTGGTGCTATTGGTGCAACCATTGTTTATCCTATTGATTTGATTAAAACAAGAATGCAAGCACAAAGAGTTTTAATTTATAAAAGTTCATTAGACTGTTTTGTTAAAGTTTTGTCAAAAGAAGGTTTAAGAGGTTTATATTCTGGTCTTGGTCCACAGTTGGTTGGTGTTGCTCCAGAAAAGGCTATTAAATTAACAGTTAATGATCTTGCAAGAAGTTTCTTCACAAATAAAGTTACTAAAACTATTACAACACCATTAGAAGTTTTATCTGGTGCATGTGCGGGTGCATGTCAAGTGGTTTTCACAAACCCATTGGAAATTGTTAAAATTAGATTACAAGTTCAAGGTGATTATAATGTTGCTGAAAGACAAACAGCTGTCAAAATCATCAAGAATCTTGGTATCAGAGGATTATATAGAGGTGCTTCAGCATGTTTATTAAGAGACGTGCCATTTTCAGCTATTTATTTCCCAACTTATGCACATATTAAGAAGGATATTTTCAATTATGATCCATCTGATAAGAGACGTCGCAGTAAGTTGAAAACTTGGGAGTTATTAGTAAGTGGTGGATTAGCTGGTATGCCTGCTGCTTTTTTGACCACACCTTGTGATGTTATTAAGACAAGACTTCAAGTTGATGCTAAGAAAGGTGAAACTCAATATAAAGGTATTTTCCATGCTTTTAAGACCATTTTAAGAGAAGAAACAGCAAGATCATTTTTCAAAGGTGGTGCTGCAAGAGTTTTAAGATCATCACCACAATTTGGTTTCACTTTAGCTGCTTATGAAATTTTCCAATCGTTATTCCCATTACATGGAACTGGGTTATCAAATATTGAAACTACACCTTCTTCACCTGCAAATTTGGCCAAGCTTGGTAAGAATTCTACAAAGATTCTCAATGATTCCGTTGCTGAAGATATGAAGAAAAGATACTATTTGAATTATTACTATAAGAGTTGTCAAATTAGTAAGACTTTTATTGATCTTGATTACAACTTCAAAGATTTTGACTATGATGTTTACAAGAAATTTTATAAAGAATTGAAAAGCAAGAATGATTAAAGTTACATTTGATTAATTAATTTGTTATCTAAAGTTGTTCATTTGCATTCAAAAACTTTACCTTTTTTTTATATTTATAATACTGTTGATTATACTTTTTTAATGTTTTGCAGGATTAACTGCCATGATTTATGACCTGATGAACTTATGAATTTGGTCTTTGTTTGTGAAATCACAGCAATACACTGATTTTCACCTTTACCATTTTTAATAATATATACATATATATCATTTAATATAATACATCAAATATACTTTAAATATTTACAACATTGTAGTTTGATGATCGCGTGCGTTCATATATTTTCTAAATCGATATTGATATATTTGTCAAAGATATCTTCATCTATGGTGTAATTATTTTTCTCTATAGCTTCATTGAACCTTGGATCTCTAAACATGAATTTACCTTGTTTAATTGCAGAAAACAATCTTTCATAAGCTTTCTTTCTTCTAATAGCATCACTCTTTTCTCTGTTTTTCTTTTGTTCTTGAGTACTTGGGAAATCAAAATCTCCAAAACCTGGAGGCGAAGGAACTCTATCAAAAATTGTACGGTGTCTTGAAGTCTTTGATACAAGATTGTCTGGCTTTGTATAATAATTTGATTCATCATTCCATTTAAGACCACTTTTGGTACTTCCAATCTTAGCTTGTGGGTTATCACCTTGAGCATTTTTATAAAACTTTTCACAGTCTTTACATGTACTGCCATGTGCACATTGACGTTTGTCACCTCTTAAAACTTCATGAAATGCAAAATCAACATCTCCATTTTTAGCAGGATTGATCTTGAAATCTTCTATTATCCAATCACAATCTTTTATTGGGTTTCTGGTTAAATCATAAACCGTGGATGATTTCGATCTCTTGTTCGGTTTTTTCATTGGTGTAGAATCATCAGGTGTATGTAGCATTGATCTCTTGAAATTTAGTTTTTGAAAATTCAATGGAGTTTTAAATTTTGAACTGGTTTGAGGTGTTGGTAGTGATGGTTTCAAAGTTTCCTCTTTAATATTGTTTACAAACTCTAAATCTTCTTCATCTTGTTGGGAATCTAAAATCTCAACGGAATCATCAGGTTCATACTTGACTTTAGCAGAGGGAAAATTACCCTTTGACTGACTTGGAGAGGATAGCTTGTCTTCAGAATCGTCAGTAGACGATTGCTCAGGCTGTACTGGGGATGATGGAACTTCAAAATGTTGAGCCCTTAAGTCAATAGTATCGGGTACTATTGGTATATGACGTTTTGGTTTAATGGACTCCTCTGATGGTCTTTTGAATTGAGGATACTTGTAGTTTGGTCTTTCAAAATCTTCACTGTCTAATGTCTGTTGAGTCGGTACCAGATCTGAACCATCATTTATATTGTTTAGGCGCTGAGGGCTGGATGTGCCTAAGTCATCTTGACTTACTGGCCGTATTTCTGCATTTGTAGTTTGTGGTTTTGGTTTAGTGGGTGTCGAATTCTTTAACATTGATAATATATTTTTATTGGAGTCATTTTCAGTTTTAATTGGTGCTAGTGGAGTACGTTTTTTATATTTGAGTTCTTCAACTTCCTTCTTCAATTCATCATTTTGCCTTATCATATTGTTGAGTTTCACATTAAGGTCGTTTGGGTCCTGAATTCTACTTCTTTTAGCTGATTGTTTATAAGATTCAATTTCCTTTTCAAGCTCATTGATTCTAGTGTCCTTCTGTTTATTATCTCTTTCCAATAATCGTATCTTTGAAACATATTTGTGAATTTCTAGTAAAATTAGTACCAATGCTCGGATTGAAATACCATGTTTTTACATACCATTTTCCAAAGAGTCTATGACTTTTCTTCCTGAGCTGAACCAGTCATTTAAGCTCTTGGTTGACATTCCAAACGTCTTACGAGTGGCAAAACACCTGATTGCTTATGTTCCTTTTGTTTAATACAATCTTTTGCCAAAGGGTATAAAAAGACGCGCCATACTATACAAATGTTTACCGCGCTTGATTTTTTGGTGAACCGCATTTGGTGACAGATAGGGAATAATTTTTTACAAGACAAAACAAATCACTTCTTAATAGTATTTAAGTTTAACAGAACCATCACCACCATCACAATGTCATTATCCGACTACCTTGCCAAAAATTACCTCACTGATACCAAGAAGAAAAGTAAAAAGCCCAAGAAAGAAAAAAAAGGGAAGCAAGAGAATTCAGTTATAGTTGAGAATCAAATCTCGTTGAAGAAGAATGAAACAAATGAAGAAATAGATGATCTAATTGATGAACCAACTGAGGTTCTTCAACCACCAAGGAAGAAACAAAAGGCAAAGGGATGGAAAGTGGTAGGCACGAATGAATTAGTTACAGATCTACCGCCAACAGAACGCGAAGAAGTAAAAATGTCTTCTGGTGCAAAAGCAGGTCTTCAATCAGCAGAAGAAGTTTCAAAACAAATAAAGGAGAAAGAGCAAAAACAAAAACAAGAAATGGAAGAACAAAGATTGTTGAATAATAAATCATACAATGAGACAGTTTACAGAGATAAATCAGGCCGAAAGATTGATATGGAACAACAAAAAGCAGATGCTCAAGCAAGAGAAGAAGAAGAAGAAAAGATCAAAAAAATTGAAAATCTCAAACAGAATATGGGTCTTGTTCAACTATTGGATATTCAAGAAAGCAAGGATAAACTTGATAGTATATCAAAGGTAGGGATGACCAGGCACGCTGACGATCAAGAATTGAATGAAAAATTGAAAATCAAGGAGCATGAGGATGATCCATTACTTTCGTTCCACCCTACGAAGTCAAAAAAGTACGTTTCGAGAACAGGAAGGAAGCTTTATAAAGGCGGATTCCCAGAAAATAGATTTGGTATTGTTCCAGGTTGGAGGTGGGATGGTGTTGATAGATCCAATGGTTTTGAAAAATCCTGGTTTAAAAAACAAGCTGAAATACAAGAACGCAAAACCCTATCATACACCATGCAAGAGGATTACTAAAATGAAAAACTACTATCTTGCTTTTATTAACAGCTAATATTTAACGATTAATGACCACAATATACATGTAATATTATACACCTTTCATTCATAAAAACCCGTAAGTAAAACATGAGTAACGTAAACAACAAAAACTAAAACAATATCATCATAAAACTCTCACAGAATGACTTCAATCTTTATTTTCAGATTCAGCAGAACCATTGTTCTTAGAATTTCCATTTGAATGGTTACCACGACCGCGATTACCACCACGAGCACCACGATTACCACGACCTGATTGGTTTCCTCTACCTCTTTGTCCACCTCTACCTCTTTGGGATCTTGAATCAGGTTTTTGAGAATATTGTTTTTCATTTGATGGTGCTGATTCTTGTTGTTGATGAGATGGATTTATGTTTGAACCACCAAATTGTTGTTGACCTTGAGGTGGTGGTGCAGGAAAAACACCAGGTGGGAATGGGGCAAACCCTTGAGGAGGAGGAATTGGTCCACCAAATGGGAATTGTGGATTAAAAGCACCGGGAGGTGGTGGAATTGCACCTGGGAATGGTGGAATGAAGCCTGGTGGAAATGCAGCTGGAATAGGAGCAGGACCAGAGCCTTGAGGGAAAGTGTTTAATTGATGCAATATATGGGCTTGTAAATTTTTAGAGTTATAACCATGATGTTGATTATCTTGAGCTTCAGACTCATTATCAGTTGAATCATCTCCATTTTGTTTTTTTCCTTTCAGTAATGATAAAAGTTCATTACCTTTCTTAGATTCAGCTTTATTTGATTTCTCATTGGAGGTTTCTTTTTGATCTTGACCACCTTTAAGTGTTGAGAGAAGTTCATTGTCTTTCTTTTGAACAGGTTTCTTTTCTTCAGAGCTTTTGATGGTCTTTTGTGAAACAGGTTTTTTCTTGTTGTCACCATTAGTTGCTTTATTGGAAGCTGTTTGGCCACCTGATGTTGGTTTTGAAGTCTTTGCACCATTCTTTGCAGTTTTGGTAGATGATGCCTTTGAATGATAAATATATTGTTTATTGCTAATGTTCAAAACTAAAGAAGAATCAACGTTCAATGCACGGTTTGTTCTAAGTCTTCCATCAAATTTATTACCACCAATCAATGGTTTATCAAATAAGACTTGTAGTGTAACATTTGATCCTAAACTTTGATAAGCAATAACTGTACCTTTAGAGAATAATGGAACTTTACCAGAATCATGAACATAGACCACTCTATCACCAAGTTTGAATGCTTGTGCTTTCAATTTATCAAAAGAAACACTTGGGTCCAACACAGCATCTCTTGGGACACCAGCTAACTTTTTATGTTCTTCTTTATCATCTTGAACTGCATAAAGTTCAATTTGATTTTCAATTTCTTGAATACTCTTAGTTGATAAAGAGTCAGACTCCAGAGTTACTCTAATGAAACTTGATTTCTGAACTTTCAACCAATCAGCTAAAGACTTCAATCTTTCATCAACAGCTTTTGAGTCTTTGTTACCAAAAACATCAGCAACATTGATATTCTTCTTGCTGGCCAACTTTGAGATGGCATTGAAAACATCTGGAAATTGTCTTCTGTAATCAGTTATCAATTGGATTGCTAAAGAACTGAATTCCCAGCCTCTTTCACTCTTTCTAGTGAATCCCAAGACCTTTTCTCTTCTAGCTTCGAATTTCAAGTCAAGACCAATGAAAATACGTTGACCTTTAGAACCTTCGATTAAAAATGATGATGTGATCTTTGAAAGGAATAACCCTTGTAAATTCAACATTCTAGCAACTTCATAAGATGGATAATACTGCATACTTCTTTTCTCTAAAGCAGCCTTTGAAGTACCAATGGTTGGTTCATCTTTGATTGACTTCTTAACCACACTTAAATCTAAACGAGTAGTAGAGTGGTAGCCAGTAACTGTAGCTTCACCACCATAAGCATAAGCACCCAAAAATATAACTTTAGAGTCTATTGGAAATTCTTCATTTATTGGTACTGGTGGTCTTTCTGTAAATCTTTCATCTTTATTTTTAACATTTTCAACAACGAGTTCTAATGGATAAAGCTCTTCTTCTTTAGCATATGATTTAACGTATGCACCACTTGTTGTACGTTTCAATCCAGAAACTGGTAGAACCTTGACCAAAGCACGTACATCTTTCAATTCAATACCTTTAGTTGATAAAAATGATCTTATAAAATTAGCCTTAGTTGCTTTGTATTGCTTCACATCTTCTGGGTCCATTGGTCTAGATGTAACTTTATAACCTTTTTCCTTTTTAACCAGAAAGTAATCAAATTCACCATCTTGAATAGAAACAACTTTAGATTCTCTTAAATATGGATATTTAGTGTAAACGACCTTTCCAACAAATCTCTTAGCAAACTGTTCAACTGTTAAACCTTGATGAATATCAGTATGTGACAAAATCATTGAAGTAGATCTAGATGGTTGATTGAAAATATATAAACCAGCAGCTTTCAGTTCATTTTCAAAAGGAATTGAACGTAAAGTTGGGAAACCAGCCAATGCTTGATTACCTAAAAACACACCTTCACAAAGACCTGTAATAACATCGGAATCATTGACAGGTGGTAAATGAAATCCTCTCTCGAAACAGTGATTGTTTTCGATATCAGTGAAAACACCAGTCAATGGTGATTTATAAACTTCATCAATTTGAGGATTAAAAGTGAATAATATATCTGAGCCAAATGAATTTCTTTGTTTTTCTTCTGGAGTTAATTCTGCATTATGTGGTTTCATAGCATCCTTTAATCTATCTGGATCAACAAATGATAATTTGACAACAGCTTCCCATTCAGCTGTCTTACCATTCATATCGGTTTCAACATCACTTGGATAAAAGTCAATAATTGGTGAGTTTGGTTCAGTCATCAATGGTCTATATACAGCAGGAACCAATTGACGAGATCTTGCAGGTAAAACAGCCATCAATTGTTCAAAAGGACGGAATGGTGTACCTTTTTCTAAATTGATAATCACATCTAAACCTTTCTTGATATCAGAAATTCTTGGTGCATAATGATATCTATAATACCATGGCCATGATTGAACACCTTTGTAGTAATAGAACAGAACCCATTGTAAACCTTCAACATAATTTTCGGTCAATTCTCTCAATTTATCTTCATCTTTGATGCTGAATTCTAACTTTTCCTTGTAATAATTATCCTTCCAGTTTTCAAATTTTTCATTGTAAATCACTTGTCTTTCTTCTGCAACATCTTCACCTTCAGCATCCAAGATAATAGCAGCTTCGTATCTTTTGATAATACGACGAGTATCATTAACTCTTTCATTGAATTCTTCTTCAGTTTCATGTGGATCAATACCATCAATATCTAATTTGACTGAGTAAGTGTTTTCATTTTTAGAATGAATTATAATCAAACCTGTATCAAATGCAAAGTCTTTTAGGAAATCTAAATTATTTTCAACAACATCAACTGGAAGATTAATACTTGGGATTTGTTCATCTTCAACTGGTCCATTTGGTTTCACAGAGACTGTTTTAATTAACCAAGGTTTGATAATACCAACAAGTTTTTTTTGTTGTTTCATGATAAGTAATTTACCTTGTCTTTGTCTTTTCTTTTCACCGGTTAAAGAGATATTTTCTAATTGCTTATTAAACCATTCTAAATCAACTTCAACTTGTTCAAAATTTTCAACTTCAAATTTAGATAAAATGTCTAACCATGAACCTAATCTTTTCAAGTTGATTTTACCAAATTCATTAATATAACCATCCAAATTTCTTAAAGCTTCTTTAAATGTTTCGATTAATAATGGGAATGCACCTTTGTTTAAATGTAAATCTGGTAAATTTGGTAAGAAATCATTACCAATCACATACATAATTAAAATAAAATCATCCAAGACTCTTTCAAAATCATAATCAAAACTGATTGTTTCTTTTAAATCTTGAAATTCTAATTCTAAATATTCTCTAACAAGACTTAAATGCAATAAATAGAATTTTTGTTCTTCAACTGTTTTCGGTTGTGTTTGTCTTCTACCAAAAGTAACTTCTTCTCTTAAAAGAGCAAAATGTGGTTCATGACTTACCAAACCCAACATAATTAAATCAGCATCTAACCCATAGATACAATGACGTAAATTAGGATTATAATCCTTAGAAGCTTTTTTAGTTCTAATAAATTCCATAATTTTATGTTCACCTTCACCTGGGACTTCATGACCTGAAAGTATAATTTGAACATTTTGCCATCTTGAATCTGTAGAAACTTTTTTATGAATAAAATATTTCAAATATCTAGTTAATTTTGCCATAAATTCTGTACCTGGAGTAATAGAATTTGAATCGAATGGTTCATCTTTAGGAATCTCTGTTCCTTCTTTTATTGCTTTTTCTAAATTTTTTTCAGCATCAACAGCTGTTCTAAATCTTCTTGCTCTTTGTTGATTCATTTTAGCTCTTGGAGCAACACCATCAATTGCCATATAAAACACTTCTTTTGGTTTTATTGTATCAAACAAATGGTCAATGTATGCAAATATAGCACTGAAAACTTCTTCTTCAGATAATCTTTTGGTAACATCTTCATCTTTTGGACGTGTACATGTATGTAAAATTGAATTCATATCCAAATAAAGATTATCAAATTCTGGTATCTGATTACCATCAATCAATTGAGAAATGAGTGGCCATCTTTCAGAAATGAATCTGAAGAACTTAGGAATACCCATATTTATCTATGTTTCAAAACAAGTCTCTTTGATCTTTATAATAATAATAATAATAATATAGTATAAACTTCAGCGCGCTTAACACTTTGATATAAAGGCAAATCAAAAATAATCTAAAGTTTTGAGCTAACGATCTAGACTTTTATAATATCAAATTTCAACTGGCTTCTCGATGTAATATTCAGCAATTCACCAATGTTTCCAAAAAAAATTAAAGCAACTTATCTTTAATATCTGATGGTTTTCCAATTGTTTTCGTTTGTTCTTCGGTGCTGGTTTTCGATGCACTCTGGAGAACCTTGTAAAAATTGGACGTTCACGCTACAGATCTCACAGTCTGGAAATTACACGCGCCGTGATGAAAATTACACATAAATATAAGATCTATAAAGACACAAGAAATCGATTTTAAACACAATTTTTATACATTTTGAACGATAACATTGGCTTGAGAATCAATTTCCTGGAAGTATTTAATCCATTTGTTGATCTCTGTGTTTAGTAGAGGTTTGGATGTGGTTAAAACCGTAGAAAATTGATCATATAATTCACTCTCTTTGTAACGTGAAGGTAACAAGATACTTGATTTCTTTGGAATCACTAAAGCTAACTGATGGAGTGCATTGATTGGTTCTGTATTGACAAACTCAACGTCTTGATTCACTTTGACCAAGTCTGAGAGAAATGGGGCATTATCATAAGGATAAACATAATCATATGAAGGACATTTCCCTAAATAATATCTCAAAACCCAATGAAGACCTTTATAATATTGTTTGATGAGCTCAAGTTCATCATATTTTTCACAAAGATTTTGTTCATAAACCTTTTTCTTGTGTTCTTCAAAACATTCCATTTGGGCTAATTTTTTGACATTTTCTTCTTCGTCCTTCTCTGTATTTGATATTGAAATGCCTGCTAACTTGATTGATATGATCTTTTCATCAATAACTTTTTGATCCATAATTGTAGACTCATCAAATGTTTGGAAATCGAATTCTATAAATTTCTTTAAAAATTTGGTAAAGACATCAGTATCAATTCTATTGTCTTTAATAATTGTTTTATTTTCCTCCCTATGAAATCTTTGAAGAAACCATGATAATTCATAATATGTGTCAGAATTAACATAAAGCCCCTCTGGTTTCGGTAGAAAATCATTTCCCAAAAGAATCAATAACAAAACTATATCCTTAAGAATATTTGTAGTATTGAGGCTTGATTTTTGTTCATTGGAGTATGGTTCTAAAAACTTATTCTTTAAGCTTGAAACAATTAAATATTCACATTGTCTTGATCTTGATGTAGTGACACCACGTTTATATTTTTGTCTGGCGAGAAACACTTGTCTTTGTTTCAATGATAAAGAGAGAGCGATTAAGTCTGCATCTATACCATAAATCACAACTTTCATATCGATGTCCTGTTCCCTTATATGATTAACAATCTTAAATTCACCTTCACCTGGAACATTTGAATCAGAAATGATAACTTTCACATTAGACGAAAGTTTTGGTAAATGACTACCAGTGCATTTTGTAATGAATTGTGATAACATGTTCATAAATTCAGTTCCTGGTGTTAATGCATTAGGATCGATTCCATTTCCTGATTTAATATAAGATTGTCTTCTCAACGCTTGACCTTTCAATTTGCCTAATGGTGGGACCCCATCAATTGCAATGTAAAGTAGTTTGTGAGGACAATAAGCAGCAGTGACCATTTGTAAATGAGCCAATATCAAGTCTTTGAAATCTTTTTCTGATTTAGCATCTCTTAAACATATATGGAAGATACAATTCATATCAATGTATAAATTATCACATTGTTTACCACCATTTTTGAAGCATTCAGAATCATTCTCTTTAAGCATAGAGTAGAAATAAGGTATAGCCATTGTATCTTTTTAATCTTTTTATATTGCACTTTTAACTTTTCATATGGATACCATGTTTGATTGAGTATTAACAGTCTATATTTATACTATTTATCAACGCCCTATCCTGAGTAACTATAACTAGAAGCCCCGTTTTGTACCTATGAGAGCACTAAACCTTATGTTAACAAGGAGCTGAAGAAACAAACAGATAGTTTCTTGTTCTCTATAAAGCTTTAAACAAGCGTATATAATTCACTACAGTTATAAAAGTTCAAACTTTATACTACTAGTATATCTTTAGGCTGGATGGATTTTTACTAGGCTGATCGGGTTCTAAATTACGCTGGAGCTAGGTAGAAGATAGTCTGTTTATTACGCAGAAGAGTTTCCTGCCTAAAAATCGAGATCAGATTTTGAAAAATCAAAACAAAAAATTCTTTGGATCTATTCCATACAAATAGTCAAAAACATAAACAATTGTAAAAACTATCAAACAACTCCATAGAGAATCAATTGAATTATAAAAATGTTCGGATCGGGTGCTTCATCTGGTGGTTTCGGAAGATCAGCCTCTACAGGGGGTCTGTTTGGTGGTAATTCCTCTTCAAATACTGGAGGTTTTGGAAGCTCATCAACAAACACAACAAATAATAGTGGTGGTGGGTTATTTGGTGCTAAACCAGCACAACCTGCTACTGGTGGTGGTTTATTCGGAGGTCAAACAAATCAAGCTAGTGGTAATACTGGTGGTGGATTATTTGGAGGAGCAAATAACAATACAACATCAGGTGGATTTGGTTCAAATAACAATACTACAAATACTTCTGGTGGTGGATTATTTGGTAACACAGGTAATACAACTGCTCCAGCTCCATCAACCGGTGGTGGTCTTTTTGGTTCAGCAAATAACAATAATAACACAGCAGCTCCAGCTTCAGGTGGGTTGTTTGGATCTAAACCAGCAGCACCAGCAACTGGTGGTGGATTATTTGGAAATACTAATAATGCTTCAACTACTCCTTCAACTGGAGGTGGTTTATTTGGTGCTAAACCTGCTCAACCTGCTCAACCTTCTACAGGTGGTGGTCTATTTGGAAACACAAATAACAATAATACATCTACAGGAGGTGGGTTATTTGGTAACAAACCAGCTGCTCCAGCTCCAGCTACAGGAGGTGGTTTATTTGGAAATACTTCAAACAACACAGCACAACCATCAAGTGGTGGTCTTTTCGGGAATAATAACAATAATACAACAGCTCCAAGTACAGGTGGTGGTCTTTTTGGTAACAAACCAGCCACTGGTGGTGGTTTATTTGGAGGATCATCTACTACACAACCATCAAGTGGGGGTCTTTTTGGTAACAATAACACATCAAACACTGGATCCTCATTATTTGGTGGGAATAATACACAAAATCAATTTGGTCAACAACAGCAGCAACAGCAGCAACAACAACAACAATCATTACAATTACCTCAAATAACACCATTAACTACAGTTGGTGATCTTCCTGAACAATTTAAAAGAGAAATTGAACAATTTGATCAATACATCCAAAGTCAAGTACAAATATCTGAACAATTGAAAGCAGAACAAGATGAACATGCAGAAGTTATTGAAAGTATACCAAGAGATATTGAATATTTACAAAATAGATACAGCTCAACAAATCAAGCATTAGCTAATGATTTAACTATATTACAAGATATGAGAACATCAACAGATGAAGCATTACATGATTCTGAAAATTTCTTCCAAATACTACAGAGATTATTAACTGCTGGTAGTAAAGTCTCATCAGTGGAATTAGATTTTTATTTCAACAAAAAAGTTGAACATTATAAGGCAAAACTTCAAGAATATACTAGAGTTCTTAGTGAAATAGATTCTGCAGTGGAAAGTATTGAAAAATATTCAGTTAGTGATTTAGGAGGTATTGATTTGATCATCAATACTTTACATGAAGAATTCAATTTATTCATGGAAATTGCAAACACCGTTGCAGATATACATCAAAGAGTCAGATCATTGGGAGAAGTATCCCAAAGTGTAAAAGTATAATAATAGAATGATTTCCTGTGTTTAATTGATATGAATTATTGAGATTTGTAGCGAAAAACTGTGGTTTATAAATTTTATGTCAAATTTAGATTTGTGTAAATGATTACAATCTCCGAGGGTAATTAATTTCTGATCCGGCCCGCAAATCATGCATTGATTAGAAAATTACACAAGTTATCATCCTTTTTGTATTCTTTTAAAAAGGTTATCAACAGAAAAGGGTTTTTCATTAACAATTTGTGCTGATTGGAAGGTTATTTGAACTCATATTCAAGTGTATTTCAATTTGAAGTTGTTATTAGTGAAAAGAAACATACTTTTTAAAAGAATTACTATTGTCTTATTGCGCAGTGTGCCACTACTAGGGATATTGAGGCAAATCACAGCATTAGTTATAAAGCAAAAAAGGATTATTTATACATTAAGCTCTTGGACGTCAAGTATAATTTGCCACTGGTGGTTATAGCAGGCTCTTAATTAAGAAAAACAATAGTGGTAAGGGCTAATCTGGTTATATATTGATTGTGCTCAGCTTTGGTTTGACATATAAATTATACCGGGTTGTTTTTGTGGAGTAAAGTATTATATACAGAGGATAAATCAGGAAATAATGGCAAAACCAAGAACTGTCAAAGTGACTGCTGATACTTCAGCTAAAGCAAAAAAGAATGAAGAAAGTCAAGCTGTGAAGCACCAAAGCTCAAGTGATGTTACCACTCCTCAGGCTTCAGACCTTTCAGACTCTGCTTTTGATTACGATGTTGAACGCAATTGGTCGGTGATTTTTAGTGATGATAATTTCTCAACTGATCATGATATAAGATCAAATTATTCTTCATCATCTGAAGAATGGACTGCTTCTACCGGGAGAAGTAATACATCTGGTGTTATCTCTGAAACTGATGCTGAAACAATGTCAGATGCAGGCTCTTCCTTTTCATCCCCAACTAACAATAAGAAAAAAGATCATCAATTTCCTATTTTGAATACCCATGATGAAGAGGTTGATAATTCTGTCACCACTTTAAAAGAACCAGCTTCTACTGAAGGATCATTTACATTCCCTGATCCTATTAAGGTTGAAAAGATGAATTTGGAATTACAAAATAAAGTTAATGAAGTTACCACTGAACCTTCAATCTCTGATAAACTCAAGAATAACCTTCAATTTGCTCAACTATCTAAATTAATTTTGGCTGTTGCATTACTTCTTGCTGTGGAAATTGGTAGAAGTTATAGCTCTGTTGGTGGAGATTATTCATTGGTCCCAAGTTTATTTTCAAATATCAAAGGTGCTGAGGAAACTATCAATACCCTGACCATCATTAGATATACTACTAAAACTGAAACACAATATATTCCTGGTGAGACTGTTTACGTCGAAACTACTGTTCCTTATGAAACTGTGATACCAGAAATTGAGTATAATAATGAAGATTTGGCTGAAAGAAAAGAATCATTGGACCTAATTTATGATTTATTTTCAAATTGGAAAGATGATGGTAGTAATGCATGGAAATACATTTGGGAAGAAGCAAATGATGCATTTGATAGAGCATCTGAAAATGCTAATAAAGTTGTTCAACAAACAAAAGAATATGATTATCAAGGTACATATGATGAATTTAATTCTAGAGCTAGAGTATTTTGGGAAGATAATTTTGAACCAACATCAGATTACTTGAGTGAGAAATTCTTAGATGTTGAAGATAAAGTTACAACAGCTTATCATCGAGCAATTTATGAAATAGCCTCAACTGACTATAAAGGTAAATTTGAAGCTGCAAAAGATTTTTCTCTAGCAACATGGGACAAATCATTAAAATTATTTGAAACTATTGATTCATTAGGTTACTTTGATCCTTTCAATACTAAGGACACTAGAGAAAAACTGTTGAAGAATGTTAAGACATCTCTAAAAGATTCTAATATCCCATTGAGTTCATTAACAGATAAATTTTGGGAATCTTTGAAAGGTAATTATTATAAGAATTTAGGTCAATCTAAAAATACAGCTGACCAACTGAAGAATGGATTTTTTGAAAAGTTTCAAAACTTAAGATTTGTTTTAAAGAATTCTGGGAAGAATGCTCGTTATTATTTACAAAATGCTGAAGAAAAGCTGAGCCATGGTGAAGCCTTTGGATTCTGGTCTAAGTTTCAACAATCAAAATATTTCAAAAGTGCAAGCTTTGCAAGTAAACATCATGCTTCTAAACTGAAAAGTCATTATTCCCAATTGTTTGAAGAATCAAGTACTTCTTCATTGAATCCGTTATCATGGTTCAAAAGATGAGTTTAATGTTCTATGGATTACTTACATCGATCGGTGGCGTGTACATTTTTTTTAGGATATATATATTAGGTGGTTTTGGTAAACATTATGATTATGATATAATTTTAAATAAGTTAGGTGCTTATTTCAGGTCAATTATAGGTTATATTTGGGGTTTTATAGGTATTTTTTGTTTCAGTTCTTTTTTTCTTAATTCTTTTTTTTCAATTTTATTTGATATATTCAAAGGTGTAAGGAACCCTTTGTTTGTTGACCAATTTGGATCAATTTTGATTATGGTCGACATCTTTTTTTTTTAAGGATATTTTATAAGATTATGCTCTGTGTGTGTGTGTGTGTGTGTTGTTTTGAAGCCCTATTGTATAAAATTATGGGTAAAGTTTGCTCAATTTATGTTGGCTTGATTTATGAGTAACTTATTTGTAGTAAATTTACAAGAATTTGATTAAAATATCATTTCAAATATATATGTACATGTAATTTTTAGAGCAGCTATTAACATTAAAGATCATTAAATAATAAATATTATTAGTATTAAAATTTTTCCATTTCATTATTTTTTAATTTCAGGAAGTGATTTTTTTTCATCATCTGGTAATCCAAGATTTTTCCATTCATCTCTATCCATTAATTCATTATCCATTCGACAACCCAAATAAGCTTTTGCAAGTAGACGACAATTTGGAGCATTATTCCCCTTTACAAGTTTTAAACATTCAAGATATTGAGCCATTATTGAAGAACATTCATGATCATGATCTAATGGGAAAGAACCACGTTCTGGTGGATTTGGAGAGTAGTTACCAAATGCGTTACCTGATAGATGAGTGTTAGTGATTTGAGTCACCTTTAGATATCCTGTATAAACATACCTGGATTCCCTGTAGACATGTTCTAAGTTGTTGATCTGATTGTTGTGTAATTTTGATATGGTTTATATGGGTATTAATTTTATATTTTTCAGAGCCCTAAATTTTAATTTCCATGGTGACATGAATTTTTCAGAAAATGGTAGATACAAAAAAAATATTAATCGATCATAAACTTCATAAAATTGAAACAAACATCTAAATCTAAATAACTATATTACCCTTAATCATGAGCTGTGTTATAGCTGGCCATGTCATGTGGTACTATTAAGTGACTATAATATCAACACTTATAGAATAATTGGAACGTTTTCTTTTTCTGTGCTACAGATTGACTCCCCAGATCTATAATTAAATCAAGATCAAGAGAAGTTTGGAAAAAAAAACAGAAACAATAATATATCAACCACTTTATAACTCACGATATAGTAAAAATAGAAAAAAAATAAGGAATCCCAAACCAATAATAATAATTAATAAAAAAAATAATACTTAATCATAAGAAAATCAAACATATTAATAAATTTAATAAAACCAAAAGAAACCAACTAAAATAAAACAAGAAAAGAAAAATTTAAATTGAAAAAAAATGTATAAAAGGTATAATAAGCAAAGAATTGAAATGAATTGAAATGAATTGAAGAGAGAAAAAAAAAAATATAGCATAAAATGAAATGAAAAAAGGTTTGTTTAAATGTCATAAAAAATATTCATAATAATGAACTTGTTGCTTCATCAATAGTACCAAAATCCCACCAAGGATGATTCATAGCTTCAATAGCACTAATTCTTTGATTTGGATCAAATTTTAATAAATTTTTAATTAAATCAATAAAATAAAACCAAAATTGAAAAGTTTCATAATTTAATGATTTATTTTTTGAATGATTTTTTTCCCAATTTTTTTTTAGAGATTCTTTTGAATTTATTGAAATTTTTAATTTTATTTTGGAACAAATTAAATCATCAATTTTTTTTAAATTTGAAACAAAATCAATTGATTTTGATAAAGTTTCTTGATTTGGATAATTTAAAATAGATTGATGATTTGAATAATTAGTTTTCTTGAAATATTTCAAAATTTCTTGATTTTTAATTTTTTTTATAATTGAATTTGGTATACGTTCATCAAGAATTTTTTCCATTATAGCTAAATGTTCTAAATTTTCATGAGTTTTGAATAAAGCTTCACCAGTTACTAATTCCATCAAGATACAACCTAAAGACCAAAGATCACAAGGGAAAGACCAACCAATTCCTAAAACAATTTCTGGAGCTCTATAATGTCTTGTTGAAACTAATTCACTATGATATTCATCATTGAAAATTGCACTACCAAAATCAATAACATTAATTAATGGATTTTTCAAAATTTTATTTTTTTTAAATTTTAAAAAATCTGAATTTGTTAACAAAATATTTTCAGGTTTTAAATCAGTATGAATTAATTTTAAATCATGTAAAAATGCAATTGATCTAATTAATTGTCTTGCTATAGCTTGAATTTGAGAACCTGGGAATGGTTTAAATTTATTTTGTTCTAAAAATTCAAATAGACTTATATCCAAAAGATCAGTTATAATACAAATATGATTTTCATAATCCAAGACTTCTCTTAAGTGGATACAATTATTTAAATTTTCCGGGTCAGCATTTTTTAAAGTTGTTAAAATTCTTAATTCAATCTTGGAAGCTTCTCTATATTTTGGTATAGCTCTAATGATTTTAATTGCCACGGTTTCATTATTATTTTGGAAATCAATAGCTTTTATAACTTTACCAAAAGTTCCTTGACCTAATAAACTTAAGATTTTAAATCTACCATTTGCAAAAAATTCACCAGGTTTAACAATATAATAACCATCTTTATCAGTTATATTTTTTGGTTTTGAATTTTTAGAAATTGGTGATAATGGAGATGTTGTATTTGAACTTTGATAATGGATATTATTATTAGATTGGAAAGAATTTGATGATGATGATGAAGAGAAATTGCCTGTGGTATTTGAAGAAGATGGGATATTAATTGGTAAAATTTCAGAATTATTATTTGAAAGGATTAAATTTGGTTTAATTTCACCAATTTTAATTAATTCAGAAACTCTTCTATAAGAAATTTGTGATAAAGGTAATTGAGGTAAAGAATTTGTTCTTCTTTTTTTAACACCAACTTGAATACCTTCATGAGGATTGTTTAAAGACCCTTGGTGACTATGGTTACCATTATTACCATTTAGGTTTTCATTTTTCAATAAATTTGCTAATAATTGACCATCATCTTCATTTGTTGTTGAATTTAAATCTAAATCATCATCAATAGCCATATCATTATATTGGAAACCTTGTTGGAAACCTTGATAATTATTAAAATCACCAAATTGGAAGTTTGATTGGAAATTTGGATCTTGATAATTATTTTGTTCTTCTTTTAATATAACTATTGATTCATTATCATCATTATTATTGTTATTGTTTTCATCACCCTCATTTGATTTATCATTAAATTCATAATTTTCATCATCAGAATCTAATATAACAATACTTGAATTATCTTTATCAATTAAATCATTTAAATCTTGATCTTGATTATTCTGATCTTCATTAATAAATTTTTTTTTAATTAAATTATTCCAATCACTAAAAGAAGATCTTGGTCTTTTTCTTGAATCTATTAGCGACATTATTAGCTGATACTTTGAAAAGATAAGTTCAGAACAATACCAGAATACCAGAGCACGAGCACTTGAACAATACCAACACTTGAACAACCAGTAATCAATCAACAACTTCTACCTTCACTTTCACTTTAATGGTTTGTTTTTTGTCTGTTTTCTGTTTTGTTTTCTGTTAATTTTGTTAATTTTTTGCCTTTTGAAATTATCGCCCACGAGCAAAATCCCCCCCAAATTTTTAAAATTATGTAATCGGTGGAGGTGTGGGTGATATTAAATGGGTGATAACTTTATAACTAGTTGGTGTTTGTATATTGTTATTGGTACCATTGTAATCTCCTGAATGAGTAGATTACAATGATACCAATATTAAATATGGTTGTGTATACACCTGTTGAGTTATCGCTTCAATTAAATTGCTGTTATCTGAATTGCGCTGTGTAAAAATTTTGAATTTGATTGTTGCCCTGGTTATAATTTATACATTTATAATTTTAAATTAATTACATATTAATTACCGCATTGGGAAGTCAAGATATCAACTAGTATAAACTTTTATTAACAATTTATATTTAATTTACTCTTTTGTCGCTAAATACAAAATAATTCTAGCATAATTCCTATGTAATGATTGAACCCAATTAGGAATTAATTTACCATCTCTTTTATCATTATATTGATGTGCAGTAGAGAAATAAATATCAATTATACCGTCTTGTTCTTTTGATTTAACTAACAAGATTTCATGAATTCCACCATTCATTAATCTCCAAGGATATCCATATGATGATAATTTTTCAAAAAATGATACAATTGAATAATTTGGATTCCAATACCATGATATTATAGTGGAATGTGCATTCTTGGATTGGATTGTCTTTATAATTTGTGAATTTAATATTGTAGAAGGTGATGTAGTTATAGTATTATCATTTGTATTTATACTATTTGATTCAACAATTAAATTTGAAATTCCAGGTGAATTTAAAAATTTTGTGGATACTTCATCAATTGAATTACTATGGACTTGTGTCTTGAATATATCTGTATATGCAAAATATTTATCATTTGATCTTTGAATATAATTTTGTAATTTTGATTCTTTTGGTAATTGATTTTTAGGGAAATCTGGATACTTTTTGGATAATTCTTTATTAATGAAATAATAACCAATGAATGGGATTGTGATGGAAATGAATGTTCTTGATTTCATTGTTGAGTCAATTGAATTGAATATGAATGAATATATCAATTAGTATCAACTGTATAAATCTTTAAATCTTTTATTGTTTTAATTTTTCATTTGTTTATTATTGTTCAACTGATATTTTTTTTTATTATGATTACGTAATTGATGAGTTACTGATTACATAACTGATTATTTTTCAAAGCCACTGTTTTAAATTTAAAGCCATACAAAACAACAACATTTACACAAGCCACAACGGAAACGAAAAAGGTTTTCAAAGGTTTTCAAAGGTTTTGTTTATTTCTTTCATTGTTTATTTGGTTTTAGGTTCTTGGTGTTACTTTGGGTGTTATTGGTTATTGGTTATTATACTAGGGTATTAAAGGTATAGAAATAAGGTGTTTGGTTATAATATGTCTTCATTAAATCAAAATATACTTGAATCAAATGATTCAAATGATAATACAAATACAAATATAAACACAAATAATATAAATAATGATACAATCAATGATACAATTAATAATCCTTCTAAAAATTCAATATCTAATCTATTAGATCAAACACAGAATAACGAACCACTTGAGAAAAAATTTAATTGTCCTCATTGTGATCATACATTTACAAGAAAACATAATTTAAAATCCCATTTATTAATTCATTCAAATTTAAAACCATTTAATTGTTCTATATGTTCAAATAAATTTAGAAGATTACATGATTTAAAAAGACATGAAAAATTACATACTGGTGAAAAACCATTTAAATGTTTAAAATGTGGTAGAAAATTTGCTCGATATGATGCTTTAATTCGTCATAATAATAGTCAAAGTGGTTGTACTTTATTAGTTGATGATTTTATTGTAAAAAGAAAATATGATGATTTAGATCAAAATGATAATGATCATATATTGAAAAAAAATCAATATGAATCAACTTGGAAATTGAAACAACAGTCTGAGGTTCAATCTGAGAATCAGGTTGAATCTCAATCACAAAATCAATTACAAATTCAAAACACAACTCAAAATCAATCTCAAAATCAAAATCAATCAATATCTTTACCTTTACAATCAAATAGTACAAATAATAGTACAAACAATAGTATAATCAATACTAGTACTACTAATAATAGTACAACTAATACCACAAATAATACCCCAAATACTATTGAAAAATCGTTACATTCATTACATCCATTACCTTCAATAAATAAATTAACTCCAATTATTGAAAAATTAAATTCAAATTCATTAAATCAAAATAATTCATTAAATCAAAATTCATTTGATAATCAATTAAATTATAATAATTTTGATTTATTACCTTATATAAAATTATTAGAATCAAGAGTATCAACTTTAGAAACAAAATTATCAATTACTGAAACAAAATTATTAAATTTATTAAATTCAAATATACAAAAGGAATAAACTATTCAACTTTTTCAATTGAACCATTTTTAACATTATAAATATAACCAGTTATTGGAACATCTAAAATTAATGGATTTGATTGTAAAATTTTAATATCATCAATAATACTTTGTCTTAAGTCATCAAAAGGTAAAAAACTTAAATGATCGACAATTTCATTAGTTTCTTTATTTAATTTTAATCTTAATTCAAAATCATTAAATGTTAACATTCCACAATCTGTATGATGAATTATTAAAATTTCTCTTGTACCTAATAATCTTTGACTTATAATAATTGATCTAAGGGCATCTTGGGCACGACCACCTGCATTTCTTATAATATGAGCTTCACCTAAATTTATACCTAATACACTGGTTGGATGTAATCTAGCATCCATATAATGGCAATTTTTTTACTTGGTGGTAATGATAATTCACTTTGTTCCTGTGTGAAATTTGATTGAAATTTTATATTGTTTGCTTCATATTCTAATCTGATGTTTGACATGATTACAGTATGATTTATTGTACTAATTACAAGTAAAGTAAAGATAAGTTCATATGATTTATATATATATATATATTCAAATTTACTCCTTGTTCAAGGATTATAATTCAATTACTTGATTAAAGTCACAGTTGACGTGCTTAAGTATATGTTAATCAAAATTATTCAAGTTAATCAGCATGAAAATCTTAGATCATGACTACGTTAATTATTAGTTCAATAAATATCTAACTATTAAATTTATTGATGATCTAAACAGTTCTAAATCTAAGTGTTTGGTACCATAATTAAACGTTTGATATGATAGTATCCGAATCAAATGATCAACAAATAGTGAGGATATTTGACACAAAATTCGGACTACTTTCAATCATTGAACGTCTTCAATTAAAAGCAAAGAACTATTGATCCTTTCTTGCTTTGTTGAGCTTTCTAATCTCCAATATTAATCAAATCCAACACTTTCTTGAGGTAAATTAAACAAATCATTGATTTAGATTGGTACTTGACATAATCAACCATATAGATTAGATATAATATACTTCCAAGTTCCCACGTACTTGATGATGTAGTACTCCCACGTATCCCTTCATCCTATTTACAATTACACCACTAATTAATAATAAAATTATCAACTAAATGACTTCCAAGCGTACCTTCTACCAAGAACCAAGAACACAAGTCCAAGTTATTTTATTTCCCGGGACAATGATTGATGAATTTACGATAGAATTATTAATCAAAGGACTAATACAATCATAAAACCGTCGTTTAATTCTTAGCGCTATTTGAAGACTAATGGACCTCATATGATTATAAATTGGACTCGTGGGGGTCTTAATGATGTCTTGATTAAAGTTAAACTCAATTAATATTTAAATAGTCTTGATTCCCCCGATTCCCCGCAAAACACATACAAACTTCACATCTTCACCACCATATTAATTGTTTTAAATGACTTGGGAAAATGCCGCTAGTCCTTAAGTTCCTAGTTCTTAGCTAATTCTTTCCATTTTGGTTCCCAGTGTATCTACGTTTTAATAATTGAATAGGCTCAAATCTCCTGTTATAGCCGTACATTAACAATCAATTCATCATCATTAGCGCAATAGTAATAACAATTTGTTGAATAATAAATCAAAAGTCTAGTCTATTGGGATACTGCAAGGGTTCCATGACTATCATTATATAATATTTCTTGTACATTAATAAACCATGCATGATTGAATAGATTAATCTGGGGTAAATTTTAATTGTATATAAATTATAATGATCCTCATTATAATCATTTACAAGAAATAGATATCAATCAATCAATAGGTTGTTACCACATCATGACTCAATCAATAGGACAATATGTTAGATCAAGAATTCCAACTCTTTTTAAACTTCAATCAAAATCTTTAAAACCTTTAAATCCAATTCCTGCTTTTAGAGCAATGTCAAGATCAGATTGGAATTTTTTCATGATGGGTTATATGGCTTGGACTGTTGATGCTTTTGATTTTTTTTGTACAAGTGTTACTGCAACTGCTGTTGCTAAAACTTTAAATAGATCTGTTACTGATATAACTTGGGGTATAACTTTGGTTTTAATGTTTAGATCTTTAGGTGCTGTTATCTTCGGGTTTATTTCTGATACTTATGGTAGAAAACCTGCTTATTTAATTTGTTGTTTCTTATTTTGTGTTTTTGAAATTGGTACTGGATTTATTCAAACTTATGCTCAATTCTTAGTTTTACGTGGTCTTTTCGGTATGAGTATGGGTGGTATGTATGCTGCTGCTGCTGCAACTTCCTTGGAAAATGCTCCTGTTCAATCAAGATCTGTATTAAGTGGGATTTTTTTACCAGGTTATAATTTAGGTTATATATTTGCAATTATTTTCTTTAGAGCTTTTGAATTTACAACTCATGGTTGGAGAGCTCTCTTTTGGTTTAGTGCTGCTCCACCTGCAATGTTATTTGTTTGGAGATTATTCTTCCCTGAATCTCCATTTTTCATTGAACATAGAAGATTAGAAAAGGAAAAATTATTAAATCAAGGTGATTCTGCAAAAGCAAATTCTCCTGTTAAACAATTTTTTGGTAATTTGAAAAATGGTGTCAAAAAACATTGGTTATTATTTGTTTATTTAATTTTTTTAATGAGTGGTATGAATTTTAGTTCTCATGGTTCTCAAGATTTATTCCCAACAATGTTACAAAAACAAATTAAATTAAATCCTGATCAAAGAACTGTAACAATGGTTGTTGTTAATCTTGGTGCAATGTGTGGTGGTTTAATTATGGGTCAAGTTTCTGAAATAACTGGTAGAAGATTAGCTTTAGTTATATGTTGTGTTATTGGTTCTGTTTTAATTTATCCAACTTTTTTTTCAGATTCTCAAGCTCAAATTATGGGTGCTGGGTTTTTCATGCAAGCTGCAGTTATGGGTGCTTGGGGTATATTACCAATTCATTTAATTGAATTATCTCCACCTGAATTTAGATCTTTATTTAGTGGGTTAGCTTATCAATTGGGTAATTTAGTATCTTCTGCTTCTTCAACAATTGAAGCTGATGCAACTGAACAATTCCCATTACCTGAAAAAGGTCCAGATGTTCATGATTATGGTAAAGTTATGGCTTTATTTATGACTGGTGTTTTCATCTTTTTATTAATTTGTGTTATTGTTGGTCCTGAATATTTCCATAGAGATTTATCTGCTGGTGCTGAAAATGATAAAGATGTTGTTATTATTGAAGGTAATGATGAATTGAAAAATCAATCAGATACTTTTAATAATGAACAAGAAAGTAATTCTGATCAATATGTTAGTTCTGAATTTTTAGAAATTGATCAAGATAAACCAATTACTCATCATAGAGAACATGGTTATAAAAAAGATGATAATATTGTTTAGATGTTGATTTTTGCTTTTTAATTGGGTTTATATGTTTTCCATTATGAATAAAATCATTTGATATGATAATTCTTGATTTTGATGTAGTCTCTTTAGTAACTCTATTTTAGTATCACGTCTATTTTTAACCGGGAAACTCTAATTGATAATAGCCTATATTGACTTCCAGTTCCAATTACTTCCAACTTCCTGGTCCTTAAAAAACCTTAAATTTATAAATTATAATCACTAAGGCAACTAACAGTACTTCATGAACTTTAAAGACTTTACATAAACTGTATTTCACATACCTTAATTCAAAAAAGTTACACTCTTCAATTGATTGACTGGTTTTCTAGTACTCAATAATTCAAATGAACCAGGGTTCTTCGAGATCTTATAGGATATAGGGTATATGGTACCTGATTTCCAATAAATCGAGATTCAAGAATGGTATTCTTTGCATATAAGTGAATAAAGTCAATTCCCAATGTACCCATCTTTCCCTAATCACTTCACTAATCGAGTCATTTAAATCCTAATCCGTTGAAACATTCAAACTTATTCGTCAGTTGATGTAAATCATCATTCAATTTTTTTTGCACTGACGAACTTTTCAAGGCTATACAAAAAAAAAAGTTGTGTACCTGAATGATCTACAACCAAACTACATGATTACAAAATTTTAACAATTACATTGTTGACACATTCTCGAAAAGGATACAGCGTGTAACCTTTTGAAGAACGATGAACACATACAACACATACCTCTATGCAACAACAGTACTGTATAGGCATACGAAGCTGAGTTAAAGCACCGTACCTTTCATTATTTTGTCAAATTGGTTCAAATTCACAGATCTGGATCTCATGAGTGTTGAGTACCATGGAATGAACACTACAACTGTCTATAAAGCAAAACAGCAAAACCTTATGAATGGTTATACACTACACAAAGTCTAAGTAAAATATTGAAGTTTGCGAATAATTGAGCCAAGTACACAAATTCATAGCCTATGTCAAACTTTTTAATTACTTGCTTATTGCATGTTCAATGATTACGACTGCATATTAAATATGGAGTTTCAAAACTCAAATCTGGACCCTATTTTGTATCTGGATTCTGAGTTGATTACTATAATTAGGAAACTGTTTCAGTTAAACCTTAAAGATCACTATATGGGAGTGTAGAGTGTAGACATACCTGCGAGCTTTCGGTTTTGCAAAAGGCTAGAGCTCTAGGGGTCCAATCTTTATGTTTACAAATTCCCTTTAGTATTTATGAGATCAGTGATTTCAAATTGATCAGATCTCAATTGAGTAGGTGCACATATCGTAAATCTAAACAAATACTACCCTTTGAGCATTCTCAAAAAAAAAATTTGGTGATTCTATTTACGCTGTCTGGAACGTAGGAAAATCGAGTATGTTAGTACACACACACACATAATTGAAAGTGTATTGTAACCCAAGAGATATATATATACACCGAAGGCAAAATTCTTTATTGAATTTTCCATGTATAAATAGTTAGCTTTATCCTCCAAATTTGTAAAAACTTTATTGAAAATTAGAAACTTATTTCAATCATAAAAGTTCATAACCTTAGATACCCATATACCATATATTATACTTTACAAAAATGTTGCCAACAAATATCTTAACCACACTTGCAATCTGTTTAGCATCAGTTTCTGCTCAAGAGTCAGTTGCAGTTAATAGAGATTTATCATTATCATCAGCTCATGCTAAAGGTTCCACAATCAATTCAGAAATCACACTTTTACAATCATCTGCTGCTGCTTCAATCTCAAGTGCTTCAGTTTTATCTGAAAGTTCAAAAGATACAACAACTTTAACATCAGATTCAAATAATAGTCAAGCAGCTCAAAGCAGTTCACCAAGTTCTGTTGCTGCTGCTTCATCAGCTCCACAATCAGCACAACCAAGTATTCCAAGCTCTCCAGCTCAAGCTGCTATTCCAAGTTCAGCTGCTATTCCAAGTGTCGCTGCTACTCCAAGTGTTGCTGCTACTCCAAGTACACCAGATACACCAGTTCAACCAAGTCAAGCACCAGCAGGTCCATATGGTGCACCAAATCCAAATCAAAAAAGAGATGCAAATATTAAATTCAATTTCCAATCAGCTGAAGCAGCTTTAAGATCAAAATTCATTGCTGGTGAAAAACCAACTGATTCTGCTCAATCTTCATCAGCTAGTTCAACTCAAGCTTAAAAAATCACATACTCTGGTAGTAAACAATAGTGCTTTTTTTTTTTCTTTGCTTTTTCAATACCTTTAATGAATGAATATATAGGATCCTGGGTTATTCCATTAGATATACCCTTTAATTAGTTCTTCTTATCCAATTTTTGCACATTCATATTCAGTTGCAATATATCAAATACAATGGAGTTTTAATTTTAAAATTTGTTAATTTGTAGTTGAGATATAAACTAGCTGAAAGGTATTAATAAATTGTATCCATAATCCATTGTAGACACTCAATAGCTAAAGCTAGTTTAACTTTATGCTGCTATATTAAATCACTAATTACTTATACTTCATCGGCTTTTGATTTCTGATTTTTGACATAAAGAGTAACTATTATGTGTCCCCTAACAGTTCAAAATGGACTTTAATGCATTAAAATGTCATAAATCACTTAAAATTGAATTTATCGAGCTGATTTTGAGTGCATTTTATTTATTTTATTTCAAATATTATAATGAATTAAAAATAATTAATATATTTTTCTTGAAAAATTTTATAATTTTTAATATGGCCATGTAGTAAATTTCAATTCAGCTTTAAAATTAAAAATTTACAAAATCTTCAAAATTTCAAACCTAAAATTTAGCCATTTAAAGGGTACATACATACAACTAATGAAATTCTTCTATCAAATAAAACTATTTCATTAATAATTTTACCCAGTATTAGTTGAGTAGTTATCAATTTTTGTTTGTACTGTGCTGTTTCGGCCGAGAGTGTCAGCTAATAAAAATTACAAGGTTCGGACATTATATTTATTAATAAAAGTCAATAGAGCGCCTATAAGTTTAGTCTCTTTTTTTTCATATGAAATACGTGACAGCATAGCTGATTTAGACTGTGTCTAATTTAACCTTGAAAATTAGTGAGATATATTGGTGAAGCCGATATAATTCATCTTTAAAATTAGTCATGTGAGTGAAGCCGATATGATTCAAATATAATATAACATTATATAATATTACAGAACCTATAGGTAAAAAGCTAGTTATAACCATAAATACTAGAAACTTATGCAAAAACTCCAATTAAGGCTTTCTCCTTTGAACTGAAAGATGGAGAGTCTCGAACACTTATAAAATACTTCAGGATTAACGGTCAATACGATAAAAGTCTTGTGAATTGAGAATACATAATTATTAAAGTTTATTAACAAACCAATTGATAAATCAAACCAATCTATATTTCACGATTGCAAAAAAAACTCTTTAACCCAAGATAGATCTTTTCCAAATGTCTTTTAATGCCTTATTGAAAATATCAATATTACAATCAACAACAGCCATTGTAACATCAACATCTGTATCCTTAATCAAAGCAACTAAAGCCAAACCTCTAATCATTGTATGGAATGTTAATATATAACCATTTTGTAAAACAGAAGAACATTTCAATGGCTGATTAGATAATTTATTTTCATATAAATCATTTAAATCCACAGTAACATCAATAAATTCAGCACAAACTTCATAAGTTTGTAAATCCACAGGGGAAGAATCTGTTGCAACATAAATTTTACTATTTATATCAAATAAAAATGATTTTTCAATTTTAGAATGTTGAACTAAATTATCTAATAAATTTTCTAATGATGGCAATTCAAATATTAATTTTTGTACAATTCTTGAAAAAGCTTCATATATAGAATGATCAAAAATTGAAGTTAAATGAAATGAAACTTGTACACCTTCAATACCTAAATCTAATAATTCATCACCAATTCTTTGCATTATATCTCTTTGAGTATCTAATCTAAAATCTTCACTTAATCCATCAACTTTATGTATAAGAACTTCTATATGTATTTCTGGATTTACTTTATAAGCATATTCAATAATCATTGCTAAGTTTGTTAAAGCATTTAAATATTCATCTTGACTATCAATAACATAGACTAAAGCACCAACACTTTGAAATAATTTTTCAGAATCATATGAAGGTTCAAAATAATTCAGTTGACCTGGTAATTCCATAACAGCTAAATCAATTAAAGATGAATAATTCTCTGTAGTTGGTTTTGAAGTTGATTCTAAGTATAATGTGTCTAATGGTTGCATATTATGGAAAACAACTTTACATATTGATGATTTCCCACCTCTAATTTAATCATTAGTATTGAATTTATTTCTCCATATCTAGTGATAAACCATGTACAATACTTACCTTCTTAGCCCCATCAATAAGATGGTGGCACGTTCTGGATCGTTTGAAGGCTCACTTATTATCTGCGGTTGGTCCATTTGATATTAATCTTCTTGAAAGAACAAGTTTATTTGGGTGGATAACCTATATATCATTTCAAAAGATTAGTATATCTTTGTGATAACAAATACATTTTGAAAGCTTTCGAGAGCCAGCGCGCGTGCCAGTACCAGAAGTATACCGAATAAAAAAATTTAATTTACACGATAATTTTATTTTAAAGAAATCAGAAGTAATAAGAGAAGAAGAAAGAAGAAAACAACTTTGGAAAATGTCACAGGATTCATTTTTACAGAAGAAGAACCAAATACTGAGTCAGATCGAAACAACTTTGGGGAACGTACCAGATATCTCTCCGAAAGGTTCAATCGATGAGCTATGTGTCCCGATAATGAACTTGATCAATAGTCATAACGATATGGTTACTACTTCATCTTGTTCTGGGAGAGTCAGTGTGTTTTTAGAAGGTGTGAAAGTGAAAGATGAAGGTTCTAGTAGTAAAATTGGTGGGAAAGGTGATGGTGGTCATTGGTTATTTGTGGAACATGATAAAACAAAGATTCAAGATTGGCATAAAGATAAATTTCAATATGGTCAAGTTCCAACTACCAGTGATTTGAGTACAAGATATATTCTTTTCAAATTCGAACCATTGATCTTACATGTCAAGTGTCGAAACTATGAAACAGCATCTGCCTTATATACCACTGCTATGGGATGTGGATTTAGAGAAAGTGGTATTGGTATTAATAACATTGTTGCAATTAGAATTTCCATCAAGTTGGATATACCCATTGGTTATTACAATCAAGAAAATGACACTCCAATAGCTTTTGTCACTGAGGAATATTTGCAAATGATTACACAATTGTCATTGGATCGTTTTGAAGAGAATGAAAGAAGATTAAATATGCTTTATGAAGCCATCTCAAAGATGCAAGTCCAAGCTCCAAAGGATTCGGAACAACAAGAGACCAAGGAACAAAGAAGGGAAAGAAAGAGAAAAGAAGGTCTAGCAAAACAGCAGCAGAAACAAGCACAAATAGAACAAATAGAAGCAACAGAACAAAAAACCACTGAATAGTTGTTATATATAATTTAATGTGTATAATTGAAAAATTCAAGACAGGGTAAATAACCCGACATCAGCTATACTGATTACATAATACTTATATAATCATTTTGTATTACGTTTAAAAAAAAAGTTGAAATAAAATTATCGAAAGATATCAAAGAAACTTTAAAAGTGTCATAAAGTTGGAAAGGTTTGGAAATTCCAAAGTATTCAATCATGTCTGAAAACACTGAAAACTTGAAGAACTTGTCAATTAACGAGCAAAAACCAGAAGGTGAAGCTCCAGCTCCAGCTGCTGCTTCAACTGAACCAGTCATCTTAGGGTATGTTATTATATATGAATCATAATGACTAATAATCAAACTAACATTTGTATCAATAGTGAAGATGGTCAACCTTTATCTAAAAAAGCTTTAAAGAAATTAGAAAAAGAAAAAGAAAAAGAACGTAAAAAGCAAGAAAGAGCTGCTCAATTAGCTAAAGAAAAAGCTGAAAAAGAAGCTCAAGCTGCTAATGATCCAGCTAAAGAAAATTATGGTAAATTACCATTAATTCAATCAACTTCAAGATCTGGTGTTCAAAGAGTTAAATTCCAAGATTTATCTGCTTCTAATGATGGTGAAGAAGTTGTTTTTAGAGCTAGAGTTCATAACACTCGTCAACAAGGTGCTACTTTAGCTTTCTTAACTTTAAGACAACAAGCTGAATCAATTCAAGCTTTAGTTAAAGTTAATGGTGAATCAATTTCTAAACAAATGGTTAAATGGGCTGGTTCAATTAATCAAGAATCAATTGTTTTAGTTCATGGTACTGTTAGAAAAGTTGATGAATTAATTAAATCAACTTCAGTTCAAGATGTTGAAATTCAAGTTAATAAAATCTTTACAATTGTTGAAACTCCACAACAATTACCAATTTTAATTGAAGATGCTCAAAGATCCGAAGAACAAGCTGAAGCTGCTGGATTACCAGTTGTTAATTTAGATACTAGATTAGAATCAAGAGTTATTGATTTAAGAACTGCAACTAATCAAGCTATTTTCAAAATTCAAGCTGGTGTTACTTCATTATTTAGAGAATTTTTAGAAAATAAAAAATTTACTGAAATTCATACACCAAAATTATTAGGTGCAGCTTCAGAAGGTGGTTCAAATGTTTTTGAAGTTACTTATTTTAAAAATAAAGCTTATTTAGCTCAATCACCTCAATTATATAAACAACAATTAATTGCATCTGATTTTGAAAGAGTTTATGAAGTTGCTCCAGTTTTCAGAGCTGAAAATTCAAATACTCATCGTCATATGACTGAATTTGTTGGTTTAGATTTAGAATTATCATTTGAAGAACATTATCATGAAGTTTTAGATTTATTATCAGATTTATTTGTTTTCATTTTTGGTGAATTACAAAATAGATATTCTAAAGAAATTGCCTTAGTTAGAAAACAATATCCAGTTGAAGAATTTAAATTACCAAAAGATGGTAAAATGGTTCGTTTACATTTTAAAGAAGGTATTGAATTATTACGTACTAAAGGTGGTAGAACTGATATTGATGATTTTGAAGATTTAAGTACTGAAGATGAAAAATTATTAGGTAAATTAGTTCGTGAAGAATATGATACTGATTTCTATATTTTAGATAAATTCCCATTAGCTATTAGACCATTTTATACTATGCCAGATGCTGAAGATCCAAGATATTCAAATTCTTATGATTTCTTCATGAGAGGTGAAGAAATCTTATCAGGTGCTCAACGTATCCATGATCCAGAATTCTTAGCTAAAAGAATGGAAGCTCATGGTGTTGATCCAAAATCTGATGGTTTAAAAGATTATGTTGATGCATTTACTTATGGTTGTCCTCCTCATGCTGGTGGTGGTATTGGTTTAGAACGTGTTGTTATGTTCTATTTGGACTTGAAAAACATCCGTCGTGCCTCATTATTCCCTCGTGATCCAAAGAGATTACGTCCATGAGTTATATATATATATAGATCTTTTATAAATATTTGATTATTTTAATATATCTTCATAAATATTGCAATTTGTAGTGCTTGATTATACTTCCGAGGTCAAAGTCAGGTGATCACCCCATAGTTAAGATATTAAGGCGGTGGTCGGAATTGGATACATCAAGATTTTTTTTTTTTTGATTTTAGATGGGAATTTTGGGAGTTTTTGGTTCTTTGTTTTAGTGGGATTTTAATTTTCATTGTAAGTGAATTGTTGAACACGATTGACAAAGTAAACACAGTTAGTGGACATTGGACAATTGTTTTGTTTGTTGATATTGTGAGACTTTGAAGAGGCCAATACTTGTGATTGGTGTGCAATATTATTTCGTTCATTTTCATTTTTCAATTATACCCACAGGTTGTGTTCATTGGCTATTGTACGAGGCGAGAATTTTGAAGGAATTTAATCTAAACATTCATAATTTCAACCGTATAAAAGATATATAATAAACTACAGATCCAATTGTATCACAAGAAGAGTGATTTGCCTTGAGATTCAATCAGTGAAGAAAGATGTCGAGTGCTGAAGAGAAGAATCCAGGACAATCGTTGTCTCCAGTTAGAAACAATGACAAGTCTGATGAAGTCAAACCTATTGATACAGTATCTGTGATTCAAGAGTATAGAACTAATAAGGCTAACATGCTGAATCTATTGCCAGGAGATACTGTTTATGTGATTGCGAAATCAGAAACTGGTTGGTGGGATGGTGTGATTTTTACAAATAATGGTACTATCAGGGGCTGGTTCCCTAGTTCATACACTAAAAGTTGGATATCAAGTTTTGAACAACAACAAGAACAACAAGAACAACAACAATCAACATTGTTATCAGTATTGAAATCAAACTTAAATGATGATAAACCAAGAAAAAATAGTAGTGTGAGTTTTGCTAGCTCAGAACAAAGTAATCATTCTGATACACGTCAATCCACAAAACAATCATTTTCCACTATTAATGATCCACCAAGTAGACTTTCAAGTACAGGTAACATCAATATTGTTAGTGCACAAGAAGCAGAGTCCATTTTCAATAGTACAGGAAGTTCAAATGTTCCAATATGGGTCCCACAAGCTACAACTGATGATCAAATCATTTATTATAATTCTGAATTAAACATATATTGTAAAGAATTACCTTATATTGAAACACCAGAAATTGATGAAAATACAAAATTCAATATTCCAACTAAAGAAGAAGATGAATCATTATTATCAATTGTTAATTTAAAAGAAATTGGTAAAGAAAGAACAAATATTAAAAGTAGACCTTCTGCATTAAGTTATGAAAGAAAAAGTAGTGCAAGAGAAAGTTCAAGATCAAAATCTTCATTACCATCATCAACAACTGTTCATCCATGGAACTCTTCATTATATTCAACACCCGATTTATTTTATTATGATCCAACTGATATCAAGACTTGGTCTGGATTAAGAGATGCTTTCATATATTTTTTACAATTAACAATTGACGCACTACAGAAAAAAGTTGGTGTTTTATTCTATACTTATTTCAATATTGCTTCAAGATTAGAAGTGTTGATTAATTTAGCTTCAAGATTAGCTCAACATGATTTACAAAAATCTGGTTATCATAATAGAGTTAAAAGAAGATTGAAAAAAATGTCATCATCAATCGCTCAAATTGGTATTAATGGTAATTTATATTTAACAGTTTCTCAAGCTGATGGATCAGATTCATCAAATAAGACTGTTTCAGAAAGAAATTTTAGTACAAGTACTCAAGATACAATCAAATTAGAATCAAAACCAATCTCAATAGCTGATAGTGATACTTCAAATGAAACTACTGTAAACGTTGGAACTTATTTAAATCATGTTGAAATGGAAGTTGATTCATTGAAAAAAAATGCAATCTCTGTTGTCAAAGTCTTCATGCAAATTTCTTCTAATCAATTTAATGAACAACATTATTTACCACAAGTTTATCCAAGATTTTTAACTGGATTTTTCTCAGGTGGAAATTGGTCAAATCCTTTCTTACCTGAACCAAAAGATCCTTTTGCTGGTAAAGAAGTTGCCAAATCTTTACATCATAAAAGAGTTCCTAAAACTATTTTAAATAAAGAAAATTTGGATATTTTAACCGATAAAAAAAATCAATTACAAGGAATGTTGGATGATATTTTAAATATTATTCAAAATAGGTCAAATAATCAGGCAAGAAATGTTGAAGTTTTATCAAAAGTTTATAAAACATTAGGAGTTTCATCAAAATATATTGATATTATTGAAGGTTTAGATTTTTCTGTTTTTTTAAATTCAAGAAGAAATTCAGCACCAAATGGTGATTTTGATCCATCAAATATAATTTATCCAATTTTAACTGAATTTTTTGAATCAAAACAAGATTTACGTGATATTTTTGTATCTATTATAATGGAATCTCAAAACTTAACTTTAGATGATCCAACTGTTTTCCGCTCAATTAAAGAAGATTCATTAGATAGTACTAATAAGTTTGCAAACGTTGAACCAGAAAAGACTGCCAAACAATTAGAAACTGAGTTACAAAAAATTGATGTTGAAGGTGATGAAGATATTTCAATTAATCCAGATAAAAATTTAGCAGAATCTATTATCAAATCATTTAGACTATTGGAAATTTCTTTAGTTTTAGTTCAACAATTAACTACAGAGAGAGAAGCCGTTTTAAGTTATGCTACAAGAGTTATGAATGAAGATTTTAATTATGAAATATTAATTTCCGAAAGAGAAGATAGTACATTTGCAACTGATGAATATGCTTTACCTGCTAGTAACACCAATAGACATCAAACAAAAGATGTACCCTGGTATTTAGAATCTGAAGAATTTAATCTAATCTTCACTAATAATGATACAGTTAAAGGTGGTACAAGAGAAGCTTTAATTCAAAGGTTAACACATCACGATTCATTAGATGCATCGTTCAACATGACTTTTTTGATAACGTTTAGAAGTATGTTCAAAACAACTGATCTGATTAAACAATTGATTAAAAGATTTAATATTCAACCTCCAGAGAATTTAGCCTATGAAGAATATACCGACTGGGTTGAAAAAAAATCACAACCTATTAAGTTAAGAGTTGTTAATATTATGAAGACACTGTTACAAAAATATTGGATTCCATGTTATATTGAACCTCAACTTGCTAATGTTTGGGTCCCATTTGTTAAAGGTTTAATTGAGCTAAAATTCCCAAGTAGCGATCAATTATTTAATGAAATTAACAATAAGATTGTTAATTATGCACCAAAGCCAGAACCGGAATCAACATCACAAATCCCAACAGAGTTCAACGTTAAGACAAAACGCCAGAGATTAACTGATTTGAATTATGACGAATTTGCTAGACAGCTAACTGTGAAAGAGTTTGAATTATATTCCAAAATTACACAAACAGAATGTCTTGATAAAACTTGGAATAAAAAATATGGTTCTTTTGGTGGATTTCCTCATATTCAAAAATTCATTGCAAATTCAAATGATTTAACAAATTTTGTTTCCACTGAAATTGTTAGTCATAATGATGTTAAAAAAAGAGTTACAGTGATTAAATATTTTGTTAATGTTGCAGAAAAATGCAGAAGTTTAAATAATTTTTCATCAATGACTGCTATTATTTCAGCTTTATATTCTTCACCAATTCATAGATTGAAAAAAACATGGAAATCTGTACCAGAAAAGACCATGACATTAATGAACAAAATGAATGATTTAATGAATTCAACAAGAAACTTCAGTGAATATAGGGAACATTTGAGATTCATTATTGATAAACCATGTGTTCCATTTTTGGGTGTTTATCTTTCTGATTTAACATTTACAACAAATGGTAATCCGGATCATTTACATGGTGATAATAAATTGGTTAATTTTGCTAAAAGAACCAAAACAGTTGAAATTTTAAGAGAAATTTCAAGATATCAATCTATACCATATAATTTGAGAAAAAATGATGAATATCAAGATTTCATCTATTACCATTTATCAGATCTAATGACTATTGATGAACAATACAATAGATCATTGATCATTGAGCCTAGAGTTAGAGTATCACAAGCTCTTAATAACAACAGAGGTGGGTCTGGTGGTAATAGTTCAGGAACAAGTAATGGAACTAAACCTGGCTCTAGATCTGTAAGAGTATTTCAACACTTTGTGAACCATTCTGCTGCGATCAGTTGAGCTGACAGCATTTAATTTTTTTTCAAAAGACATTCAGATGATGTTCAATTAATATATGCTATAATTTTTAACCGAACTAATGATTCCTGTAGTAGAGTTTAATCATATTCTATAATATAGACGTTATACATGCACTTTTGTATGTGCTGACATAATCCACCATCAATTTTTGACGATCCGAAATCATCCGTTTGTATAGTTTTAGTGCTTTCCAGAGACACATCAACAACAACAACTCAAAGTTTAACCACCCACAACTCTACTTTCGCAGTTAATCACGAGTGGAATTATTTACCACTTTGCTTGCTGAGAAATTCTTATCAATTTAGCAGAATCATTGGAAAAGTTGGTGTTGTTATACTTAGGTGAAGAGGACCTCTTATCGGATCAAAACACCAGTTTGCATCCATTATGCTTAATAGAATATCACAGTTCGGCAAAAACTTCACAGAAGAGTTGAAGAATAATGATTCAAATGGTTCCCCACGTCGAAGCTTTGGCAATGGTTCAGAAAATAACGAGAAAAAACTAAACATTGATGATGGCGATGAGATTAACAGTACACCTGAAAATGATGAAGAATCTACGGGGAAGTCTGACGGTCAATCTGTTTCAACAACTCCAGAGATCAGAGCCAAATTGAAAAAATTTGCTAAATACGAAGCCAAATATCCACAATTGCTGGAAGCATATAGAACTGAAAAAGCCAAAGGTGAACAAATTGCTTCTTTTGAAAAAATATTACAAGAAAATACACCATGCTCCAGTATAAATGAAGGTCAGGAATTAAGTGAATATTTAAATAGCTTGACATTGAAAAATACAATGTTGAATGAGGAGCTACGGAGGATTTCAAAATCATCTGGAGAGGCAGCTAAAGATACCAAAATTAAAGACTTAGAGACAAAAATATCTGAATTAGAAACATCTTTAGAAGCTAAAAACACCACAAAAGAAAACAAATCTGAAACTATCAAGGATGATAATTCTAAAACCACACCAAAACAGGCAAATGATGAATCTGTTATCAAGTTAAAATCAGAGTTAGAAGCTGCTCAAACGCAACTAATAGAGTCCAATAAGGAATTAGAGAATTTGAAGGCTGATTTCGAAAAATCAAAAGATAGTTTAAAGAGCTTGGAGAATGAAAAAGAGACTTTGAAATCTAAATATGAAGACGATATTTCTTCAATAACAAAGGAAAAAGATGAATATTTCAAGTCATTGAATGAGATCAAGGGAAAAGTTGAAACATTAGAAGGTGTTGTCAAAGAAAAGAATGATAAGGTTGAAACTGTCGAGAAACTAAATGGTGAACTATCCACAGAGATTAAAACATTGAAGAGTGAACTAGATGGTTTGAAGGAAGAAGGTACATCTATGAAGACTAGTAACTCTGACTTAGAAAGTAAATTCAAAAGGGCTGAGGATATGAACTCCAAAAATATTGAGCTCATCAAAGATTTAGAAGGTAAAACTCAACAATTAGAGACAAATTTAAGTAAAAAAGATGGTGAAATCAAACAGCTTAAAGATGAAGCTCAGAAATCTGATCTTCAAACTGGGCCAGTCGTTTCTCCAACACCAGAAAAAGAAACAGAAACTTCAAACTCCACCACTTCCAATAACAAAAAGAATAAAAAGAAGAAGAAGAAAAACGGCAAACAAGTTGAGTCACCTGCTCATGATGAAACAGTGAAAGAGACTGAACAGCTACCATCAAATGATATTGGAAGTGTTGACGAGATCTCTATTTTACAAAGCAAGTACAACACCCTTGTTGAAGAGTTTGAAACTTATAAAACAAATACTACCTCTACGAGAGATAACTCCGAAGAACTGGATTTATTTAAAAAGAAAGTCGAAGAGTTAAAACAAGAGTTAGAAGAATCCAAAAAGGAAAATTCAAATATGAAATCACAATTGAAGAATAAAAATGATGAGATCGAAGACACCAAAGATATGTTAAGAGAGGTTGGTGATGATTTGGTAACATCAAGAGATGAACTGAAAGATTTAAGAAAGAAATGTGATGATTTAGAAAAATCCTTAAATGAAAATGAACAACCTTCTGAAGAAGAAAGAGCCAAAATAGATGGATATCTAAAAATGATCGAATCACAAAAAGTGGAACTTGAAGTTTTAAGGAAACAACATGCCCAGATAATAACAGATTATGAAAAAGAAAAGGCTGAAAATAGAAATCAAACTGAATCTAAAGAGTCAGAGAAAGTAAAACTTGAAGAGAAAGTTAAAGATCTCGAAAAGAAAATTGAAGACTTAACATCAAAAATCAAAAAGTCAGAAAGTGACCATGACACAAGATTTAAATCACTATCTGAGGAACTTGTTTCAGTAAAGGCAATTAAAGATGATTTGGAGCTGAAACAAAAAGCGTTCCGTACAGAGAAAACTGATCTTACAATTAAAATTTCTAAATTACAAGATGAATTGAAAGAACTAGCAAAGGTTAAAAAATCAGAGGCTTCTTACAAGAAAGAATTAGAGAATTCTCAATCTCAATTGACACAAAGAGATAAAACCATTGTTTATTTTGAAAAACAAGTTAGAGAGTATGATAATAACAAGACTCAGCTATCTGAAGAAATTTCCAAACTCAAGAATGCCAACAAGGAGTTGGGTTCCAAGATTGTTCAATTGAACGAACAAAAAGTCAAATTAAATCAAGAACGTCTCAAATTAAATGAGAAATTAACTGATTTAAAAAATAAACTCGATGGATCCATTAAAGAGAATAAAGGGTTAACAGATAAAGTTGATGTTTTACAAGATAAATATGATACATTACAAGAAACAAAATCTTCATCCAATGATCAAGTAGAATCAATAAAAAAACAATGTGAAGAGTTAAGTATAAACTCCAAAGAGGCCCGCCAAAAAATTGAACAATTAGAAGAAGAATTGAGTGAAAGTCGTACAATGCTACAAGAAAGAACTAGGGAAGCAAGTACTATCAGAAGGTTATCTCTTGAAAATGAAGAAAATTTAAACTTCAAAATCAAAGAGCTGAACTCTAAATTAAACAATCTCATAGATGAGAATGATAGATTAAGATCTGAAAATGCCATATCTTTAAGCAGACAGACAAGACAATTAGAAGATACGATCTTCAAAAATCAAGAACTTGAAAGAGTTATTAGTGAATGGGAAGCTAAAGAAAATTCAATGGTCAAAGAAATTAAAGAATTGAGAAATTTTAAAGATAAGCTAGAATTTGAAAGAAGATCGTCATTTTCCAGTAGTGATGAATTATCAAGTGCCATTGAAAGATTGAAAGAGTCCTTAAGTTCAGCAGAACGGAGAGCTCGTGAATATGAAAACTTGAACCAGGTTTTGAAGAAATTGAATGAAGAATTAAACATGAAACTTGATAGAATCACTAAAAATTATAAATTAGCTTCTTCCCAATTAAATTCATACAAAGACAAATCCAGACAAGCTTCATCATCAAAACCATCGCCAGCAGCGTCTCCTATTTCAACAAGATCAAATTCTATTGTTTCAAATTTAAACATTGTTCAAGAAACAGAGCATAGTAACAATGTTTCTACTTCGCTATCCCCATCACCTGCACCAACAGCTGCTAATGATGAAAAACTGGCATATGTTAAGAATGTTCTTCTAGGGTTTTTGGAACATAAGGAACAAAGACAACAATTGTTACCGGTCATATCTATGTTATTACAATTGAGCAAAACTGACGAAAAACGTCTTTTAGTTTCACTAAAATAAGATTGAGACTTGTTTCTTAAATCTAGAATAGTATAAAGCTGAAAATATAGCCAAATAATATTCCGTTTCACACTAAAATTTATCCGTATTATTTGATTGTAGCTTACTGCGCCGCAAACCGGTCCTGATCATGTGTCATCAAAATCCTGCAAGCAACGAAAAATGGAGTAAAAAGATATGACAATATTTTTATTCAGCTTTTTCAAATCATTTCCATTTCCAAAAATTGAATTTTGAAAGGCAAATTATTCACTAGAGATTATCATTTGTATGAACACTGGCTTTAAATTGATTAAATCATTCCATAAAGATCAATAACCTTCCATACAATTGACATTTTTTGAATTACTCGTTGAGGCTCTCGTTGGGATTTTTATTGCTGCCCATTTCTATTGGTGACCAACCACAAATACAACAAACGTTACAACAGATTTAAAGACAAACATAAAGAACGTCAAGATATAAAGGCTTAAAATTCAACGAATACTACATTGATTTATACATATAAAAGAACAACAACGCTGTTTTATCACTAATTTAAGATTATATCTTTTCAATTTTGCTCTTTGAATCAATTAACCGTTGCCAACAAGAACTTAAGATGGTTGAAGAAGTCAACAACAACAGCGCTTCATCCCATTTTTCCAGTATCACAGTATCTCCTCCATTGAGTGAAGAAAAGTTTCCTCCAAAGAACCCATCCATCGACTCCAATAGTTCTGCTACCTCAAGTGTGTCAACTGCTTCTAAGAACTCTAGTACCTCAACAGATCAAGCGTATCAATCAGACGTTTCCAATCGCTCAAAATCATCATCAACAAGCTCAAACTCAACAAATACAAATACTAGACCACAAAGATCTAGATCTATTCAACAGAATGACTCTGCCATTCCAGGAAGAGGAAGACAATATATTAATATCCCAAACACATCACATCAACATAATGGTAGATCGCCATTAAGATCATCCCAGGATAACACAGCTAAATTAAATGCCACAAGGGCAGGTGCAGCGGCAGCAGGATCTTCATCCCAAAGTTCATTATACAATCAAAGTCAAAGACGTGGATCAATCGCAAGCGTTAGTGATTCCATTGACTTTTCCACTAGTTCAGGAAATCCATACACACTGACTGGAAATTCAAGTTCTGTTAGTACTTTAAATAATCATGGTACTAGAGGTTCAATTGGTCATTCATCGGCTAGCTCACCAAAGAATAGCTTTTCCTCAAATTTCTCAAGTGGTGGTCCATTAAGCGATAATTCTAGTGGATCATTAAGTCAAAGACGCTATAGTGATAATAGTTATAGAAGACCTAGCACTGAAGAAGTATTTGATCAAATGGAACGTGAACAAGATAGCATTGTGTTAAGATTAACAAAAGAAATTCAATATTTGAAAGAAGAAAATAGATCCTTACGTCAAACTATCAATCAATTATCCGCAAATTCAGGTCGTTCATCATCAAGATCCCAATCAAGATCCCAGTCGAGATCAAGTATTGACTCAAGAAGAAGAAGAAATTCCACAGTTTTCCCAGATGATGACTTGATGTCAGTAAGTTCCAATTCCATAAGTAATACCCCAAGATCATCTAATTACTCTTCTTTACCCCAATCCAATACTTCTTCAAGGAAACCAAGTATAAACTTTATAGCTGGCGGGAGTACAAATAGTTATGATGCATCAAAGTATCCATCGTTGACAGGTCCACATTATGAGTCTTTAAGATCCAATACTTCTACAATCAACATTCCAAATGGAAGTGATGTAGAAGATCAAGAATAGAGTCACATATGGTTGAATCATTTATTTATTTATTATTCACGAGTTTAATAAGTGATACGAGGTTATACAGTACACAAAGTGTCCAGCTAAAAGGCAAATGAAGCGGGAATTTTTGAAAGAAATTATAGACATGTGTATACAAGATATACAATTTACTTGTTACTAATATCGCTTTACAATCACCGTAGCGCTTATCGATAACAATATGGAAGACTTCTTGTAAAGCACTAATTTTATATTCTGATCGACTAATTCCGGTTTTGTGGAGCGCCAATATTATAACATGTTATATCTGTATACATTGAAACTACCACAAAAACACATAAAACTAAAGAGAAATTGGAAAAAATATATTGATGCTTAAAGCTAGATAATATAATATGAGCTCAAAAAGGTTCATTTGAAAGATATAACAGGTGCATAGAACATTCACAAGATATCCACCATTTTTTAAAGTTAGCCCAAACAAGATGGTTTCTAATGCTGTGATTTCAATTCTGATTTTATCATCAACTTTCATTAATAATGCTTCTGGATTAAGAGTTCCAGTTTCACAAAAAGTTCAATCAAATTTACGCCCTGAACAATTAAAGACAACAACATCACCAGATGATATTGGCGGGTTTTCAAAGGCAAAGACTCCAGTTGGTTGGGATCCAAACATTTTAGCTCAAGAGCCTTTCCCTCAATGGTTGACTGACTTCACTGGGTTATACGAATGGCCCGGATTAGAACCACCTTATATTCCATTAGATTTCATTGATTTCAAAAAAATTTCAAAATTTCCAACTCATGAGCAAGGTGCTTGTCCTCAAAGTAGAGATAGTTGTTCATATGATTGTTATAAATGTGTTGAACCTGATGATGTTTATAGTTGTAAAAAACTTTCACAAAGTTTTGATGATGGTCCAAGTCCAGCAACTCCTAAATTATTAAGTCATTTAAAGCACAAAACAAGTTTTTTCACATTGGGTATTAATGTTGTTAGATTTCCAGAAATTTATAGACAAGTTAAAGACGAAGGTCATTTACTTGGCTCTCATACATGGTCACATAAATATTTACCAAGTTTATCAAATGAAGAAATTATTGCTCAAGTTCAATGGTCTGTTTGGGCTATGAATGCAACTGGTAATCATCTTCCAAAATGGTTTAGACCTCCATATGGTGGTATTGATAATAGAGTTAGATCTATTTTACGTCAATTTGGGCTTCAATCAGCAGTTTGGGACTATGATACCTTTGATTGGCAATTGATGTCAAACCAAAAAACCGAATCTGAAATTTTAGAGGAGGTTAAAAAATGGAAATATAAATCAAATGATCCTAATGGATTAATTTTAGAGCATGATGGATCCATTAAAACAGTCAATTTAGCTGTTGAAATAGACAATATTATTGGTGATGATCAATTAACAGTGGCTGAATGTGCCGGTGGGATCAACTATATAAAGGAATTCCCTGAAACTTCACATGAACATTAATGAACAAGTTTTCTAATATAGTTTGCAACTTTAATAATTAGTCCTTTTTTAATGGATTCTTTAAGATGGAAGTTGAAAAGTTCAACTATAGTGGATATATGATTTATAGGTTTCTCTCAAATTTTCCATACATGATCAACGAATCACCTAAATTATATGATGATTGAATTAAATATACGAATATTAATTGCTTGATTCAAGGATAGTCAGTATCACAATCCCGTGGCTGTTATCATATCTATGTAGATCTTCACTCTTAATAATTATGTGAAATGTGGTTTAGCTTTACAACAAATCTAGCCGTGAAATGGAGAATGGTTGTTTGATAGCTAATGATATTTCAATGTTCATCACCAAGCGCGAAAACTATCACGTAATCTCCGAAATTACATAATCTTCATAGAAAGTAAAATGGTTCGAAAAACAAGCAAAATAAATTAAATCAAAGCAAATGCTTTCATAAATATCATACTAAATTACATACCAGATATTTCATCTATTTGTTTATTCATTTTAACAAAAATTGGGGAAAAGCGCAAATATCCGGGAATGTCCCATCCTGGTAAACTGGTCAATTTCTTGTCTCAACAAAAGGAGGGTTGGCCGAGTGGTCTAACAAGGCCGATATTGGACGGATATCAAAGCATGAGTTATGATGGAAGGAATTTTTTTTGCGTTAATTCCATTACAAGCTGTGGAAGATTGAATGTTCATGATATGCTATAGGTAGATGAAGGAAAAATTGTTTGTGTCGCGGTCAAATATTATTTTCGCGAATTATTGAGCAGCTTCCGGCAGCTCTGTAGTATTATGTATATATAGAAAAGATAATTAGCTTGGTTTATAGGT